AGGATTAAAGGCGTGTGCTACCACTGCCTAACCTCTATGTTTAATATTGTGACTGTTCTGTCTCTGACCCCAGATAAGTTATTAGGGTGCACATATTTCAGGGAACACAATACCACCACATTTCCTCCCTTTTTTTGTCTAAAATTAAAAAAAGATTATAACTAATACAAGAAAAACTATCCAATAAGATATACAATATATACAGTTAAGAGTTACATTAACAATGTCTAGTCCACTAACATTTGACAGATTCCGATAAAAACTCCATTATATATTTTGACAATGTCCAGTCCAATAGTATTTGATTAACTCAGACAAAAAATTCATTACTTATCCTATGTAAAACAAGTAGTTCCTTTTTAAAAGTATTTTTTCTTTTCATAATAGATTCAGTAGTCTACCTTTTGTCATTTTTATATCTTCCCCCTTTTTCTTTTTAGTGTAGATTCAATGATCTACCCATTTATCCTATTATTTCTTTATCTTTTTTCTCAGAGTAGATTCAATGATCTACCTCATATCTATATTCTCTTTTTCCTTTTCTTTCTGTCTTTTTTTTTCAAACAAAAACTCTGAATCTAATCTCCTTGTTCAGCTTTTTTTCCTGACCATTAACAATTAACAACTTGTAACAACCATTGTAAACAATGACAATATCCAAAACTCATTAAACAACCCAAAACCTCCCATCCCACCTCTTGGAAATGTGGGCATCATTTTCTTAAAATTACTTGTAGCTAGAGTTTTCCTGCATGGCCCACAGTCAGGACAAATCTCTCTCACCTGCCAGTCCCACTGCAGCTCAGACCCGACCAAGTAAACACAGAGACTTATATTGGTTATAAACTGTATGGCCATGGCAGGCTTCTTGCTAACTGTTCTTACAGCTCAAATTAATCCATTTCCATTAATCTATACCTTGCCACATGGCTCGTGGCTTACTGGCATCTTCACATGCTGTTTGTCATCGTGGAGGCTGGCAGTGTCTCTCTGACTCAGCCTTCCACTTCCCAGCTTTATGCTCCTCCTTGTCCCGCCTACACTTCCTGCCTAGCCACTGGCCAATCAGTGATTTATTTACTGACCAATCAGCAACACACTTGACATACAGACCATCCCACAGCAATTACTTCCTGCTTTCTGGGGGTGAAGACATCTTTAGGGGATCCTGAAAAGAAAATTTTTGGGGTTAATTGTCAAGTCCTGTATCATTTGTCCAGTCGCTGCATAATAAGAAAGTGCAGGGCTTGTTTCAAGTCCTTGTTCAAGTAGCCTGTCAGGCTGGATCATCTCAGCTAGCCATCTCAAAATTGTCCTGAGTAGTTTGTAGTCCAGAGTCAATCTTTCTGTGGTGTTAATCAGCTTAATAGCTTTACCATAGTCCATGTGGAATCATCTTTGTGGGGGTCCCATCATCCTTTTGAAGATTTCAAAGTTGCTGTTAGGCGTGGTCATGGTTGCCTGCAGATTTTTTTTTTTTTTTTTTTTTTTTTTTTTTTTTTTTTTTTTGTGCCTCCTCTGTGGTTTGGAGCAATCACAGTCTGATAAATGTCTCTCGGAACCATGAATGTTCTTCCCTAGAAGAGAAAATCTTCACAGCAATTTCTCCCCACCATTTGTCTTGCCAAACTTTTCCAAACTGACCTTTGCCAATGACGCTTTCTTGTAACACAATGGTCTGGGCAATTCTTCTCTGAACAAGCAGTAGTAAACCCTTTGTCCCAGCTAGCAGCATCACAGCAGTCACCATCACAATGAGAAGAAGCCAGCAACTCAGAGGAGCAGCAGCCGCTGCCTCCATAGTCCCGCTGCCTCCATAGTCCCGCTGCCTCCATTTGTGTCTGGGCCTTGGCCTAAGCTTCTCCTTAGCAAGCCTCCTAGGCCGTCCTCAAACTCGGGATCCTCCTGCCTCTGCCTCTTTCAGCAAATCCTGCCAGCATGTGCCACCACAACCGGCCTAGTGTAGCTCGGGCCTGAGCTGGGGCCCTCAAGGCCACAGGCAAGCAGCTTTTTCATGAATTTGTACCATGAACGTTGGGTGCCAGATTTAGCAGGAATCTTAAAAGGTCTTATTAATTAAATCAAACCTAACGCCAGTTATTGGGGTGAATGCTGGAAGATCAGAGAAGCAGAACAAGTCACAGCGACCTCGCCTCGCCAGTTCCTCAGCTGATCCTGTTTCCTCAGACTGGAAGCCTCTGTGTCCTCATCTGAATGGGTCTCAGCTGAACTGCTGCTCCAAAGCCTAAAAGCTTAATCAGTCAAATACTTCTAGTTTCTGGTCCTCACGCCTCATAATTATATTTTAACAGAGAGTAGATATCCTTTACATAAAGAATTTCAAAATGTTCACTATATTTCCCAGGATATTGAAAAGTAGGTAAGTGATTGTCTTTACCAATGACATTCTGGACTGTGTCAATTAGGCTGTTCTGGCCTATGTCAATATTATGACATGTTATTTGTGTGTGTGTGTGTGTGTGTGTGTGTGTGTGTGCGCGCGCGTGCACGCGCAGAATTAGTAATGGCTAATAGTATAAGGAGTTACACATAATTTCCAAACACCAGTGTTTAAGAAAAATGGGAATTAGATAGAAATCTGGAAGAAGGAGCAAGAAATTGGTGAATTGTGTCTGGAGAAGGTGACTGGGATAAAGACATGGTATTTGTACTCCTTTGGATTCTTCATTAGAAGTTCGAGCCATACCTTAGTGTGTTACTCTTAAGAAGCACACTGAAGACAGGGTGTGGTGGTTCAGGTCTGTCATCCCAGCACATAGGAGGCAGCAGCAGGTGGATCTTTGAGGGCTTCTGTTTGTTTGTTTGTTTTTAGTTTTTCCAGATAGGGTTTCTTTGTGTATCATTGACTGTCATGGAACTGGCTCTGTAGACCAGGCTGGCCTTGAACTCATAGAGATCTTCCTGCCTCTGACTCCCGCGGACTGGTATTAAAGGGGTATGCCACCATTCTCACATCACTCCCTTATGGTTACATATGACCATGACCTAGTGGATACCAGTCAAGATACAGTGAGCTGTATGCATTCTGGGAAAGATCATAGACACCATCAAGACTCAGGCTCTCCTAGATCACAAGTTTGAGCTGGTATATGCCAAGCATGTCTTTGTATGTGGGTGAGGGCATGGAGGACGAAGAGTTTTCTGGAGCCCAAGATAATACGACTGCCCCAGAGAAGGCTTAAAAGGCTGGAAGACAGTGCAGAAGGAGAGGATGCAGGTGAAGGGTATTAGCTCATGTGCTGAAATTTTACACTTCGTTGTTTGGGAATTTGTTTCCCCTATTTTTAGAGAATTGTCTCTGGTAATCCTAAACTATCAATAGCGGTAATGTTTCCATTAAAAAAAAAAAATAGGGGGGGAGTGGAGAGATGGCTCAGCAGTTAATAATGCGTCCTGGTCTCCCAGAGGTGGTAGTTTGGTTCCCAGAAACCACATTTGCTTGTAACTCGAGCTCCAGGGCAGTTCAGAGGCCTCTTCTGGCCTCTGTAAGCACTCGCACACATGTGGCATTACCCCTACCCCACATACATATAACTAAAATCAAATATCTAAAAAAAAATAAGATACACTAAAATTTTAGAGAATTCTCATGTAAACTGTAAGTTTAACATACAAATAAAACTTTTAGCATTGCTTTCATTTCAATTAACTTAAATCATGAAAATACAAAGCTAGTTTATTTTAACTGTCTCTTTTCAACAAAGTTTGAGATTGTTGAGCGTGCTTAACTTCTGAATAAAGTCTTTTCTTTTTACTATTATTTTGTAAAACTGATTTGTTAGGTGATGTACCTAATTCACCAGAAAGAATTATTTTCTAAGAATAACATTAAGTGCAGGTAGGGGCAGCTGTTTTAATCCCGAGTCCAGAGAGAAATGAAGCGGAAAGCAAATAAAGGAAAGTTAAACAAAAGAGAGGAAGCGATCAGACCCAGGATGGCCAAGGGTCACTGCTGGATCCCGGACTGTTAATGGTTCCCACAAACATCTGCAGCCATCGAAAAGCGATGAGGGCTTTTTCTATTTATACGTTTCGTGTTTTGAGACGGGGTCTTGTTATAGTGCTACACAGGCGGCCTCGGCTTCCAGTGTAGCCGAGATTACTGAAGGTCGTCTTTATACCAGACTGCGGTTAGGACTCGTCGTAGGTCACTAACCACAGCTGTGTGTGTGCCTCCTAGCATCAAGAGTGCTTAAAGAGAATCCACTTAGAAAGTGAGTTTGAAAGGGGAACGCAAGACCTTCCCTTTTTGAGTTTCTAAAGTTAAAACATCTGAAATCAATTTAAGGAAATCTTTTCCTTTCTCTTTCTGGTCCCTTCTAGCCTCAGAGTCCGCCCTACTCCATCCAGCCCAGTCAGGCTCGTAGCCCCACCCGCTGGGCCCTCACAGGTGCCCGCTGCTCAAGCCCCGCCCCACCGAGGAGCTCCTCCTCCACCTGGCCCTAAGCCCCGCCCCCCGAGCGTCACCGTACGTCAGCGCGTCGTAGCGGAAGCCCGGCAGCGAATGAGCGCGGGCGGCCGCGGCCTTGGCCTCGTTGTCAGCGCGTGCGCGCCGAGTGCGCGAGTCCCCGAAACCCTGGCGGAGCGCAGCGCGAATGGAGGCCTGAGGGCGGCGGGGGCGGGGCGCGCCGCGAGCGGGGGCCGTGGCCGCGGCGGGCGCCGTCTAGAGGAGGCCCGGCCGTCCGCCGCCACGCACTCGGGCGCGGTGAGACGCAGGCGGGTCAGACCGTGGGCCGCGGCGGCGATGCAGCGACGGCGGCGCGCTCCGCCCGCGTCTCAGCCGGCCCAGGACGGCGGGCGCGGCGAGGAGGTGGAGGTGCAGTTCTCCGCCGGGCGTTTGGGCTCGCCCGCGCCTGCCGGGGCTCCGGCGCGCGCCACCGCCGAGGACGAGGAGCGGCTGGAGCGCGAGCACTTCTGGAAGGTCATCAACGCGTTCCGCTACTACGGGTAAGGCGCGCCCTCAGCCCGCCCGCCCGCCCGCCCGCCCGCCCGCTCGCGGCCAGCCTCGTGGCGGCTTCGCGGAGCCCACGGTCACCTGCGCGCAGACCTAGGGGACGGCTCCCCACTTTCCCCGGAGCCGCCGGGAAGAGCGTGCACTTTCCGTAGAGAACTGAACGGTGCTGCTGAGTGGCTCTAACCGGATGGTGAAGGGGAGAAGTGGTCCCGGAATTCCAAAATGTGCTGCTTGGTAAGGGAAAGAGAGCAGGCACCGGAGCCGGCTCTATGTTCTTGTAGTCTGCGAGTAAGTGTGGAATTCCTTTCGTGGGCTAGGCATGGTTGTAGTGCTCCCCATTCGTAATTCAACTTCCTAACTTTAATGTTTCGTCTAGATAGGTGTTTAGATAGCCTAATCAGAGTGTGTAAATGCAGGTCTGAATGGGTTTTAGTGCACCTGGATTTTCGGGGAAAGATAATACATTTATTCGGATAAGTGATAAGAGTCCACTGGTAGCAATATTCTGAACCTGTAGTTGGAACCAGAGAGACAGACATGACCCCTTGTCCAGGTCAAACCATCATAGATGGGACCCTCGTGCTATTAGTATTATAGTTATTCATATATGTAATTCTTTGCCCAGCTGTGACCCCCTTCAAGGGCAGGGAGTGAGTCTTATTTGTATGTCACAGCACTTGGCAATATTGTTGAAGCTCTATTTTTAACGAATAAAACATTGTAGCAAAAAAAAAAAAAAAAAAGACACTCCTATGCAGCCCTCACCAGTTTTGGCCGGTGGTCACATTACTTTGTTACTTGTTTGAATTGAGTAGGAGCTGATGGTTACATTGTGGCAGGTGTGACAGAAGCCTGAAACCCAAGGTCTCAAGCTTTCCTGTTGAGAGCATTACTGCTTAGCTACACTTCTAGACTCAGGACAGACTGTTTCTTGGATCAAAGATTTTGATGAAATAATTTACTAATTAAACTTAGAAGGAGGCAGTATAGAAAAGAGTGCTGTGTGCATCTTCTAGTTGTAATGTGGTTCCCCACCCTTTCATCTCTCTTTAGCAGTTGAATGTGGAATTGGGGGAATTTTCATTAAAGTCCCTTCCCCCCCACAGGGTTTCTCTGTGTAGCTTTGTGCCTGTCCTGGATTTCGCTCTGTAGACCAGGCTGGCCTCAAACTCACAGAGATCCTCTGCCTCTGCCTCCCGAATGCTGGGATTAAACGTGTGTGCCACCACTGCCCCCCCCCCCCCCCCCCCCCCCCGGCTTAAAGTTTTTCTTTATTTGTATGTACTGTCTGTGTGAAACACTTCAAATCTCTGGAAAAGTAGTGTAGCATAAGTATATGGTTTTTAAAATGCCACTTAGAGGTGTGGGGTAATAAGCCAGCATTGTATTGCTTTCCAGCATTTTTTGACAGTCTGGCCTTGAAGCGTCTATAGCGCAGCCACTACTCACATCTGGATAGATATAAAAATAAATTAATTAAAAGTTAGAATTGAGCTGGGCGGTGGTGGTGCATGTCCTTAATCCGAGCACTTGGGAGGCAGAGGCAGGCTGATCTCAGTGAGTTCGAGGCCAGCCTGGACTACATAGTGAATTCTAGGACAGCCAGGACTGTTACACTGAAAAATCCTGTCTCAAAAAACCAAGGGAAAAAAAAGTTAGAATTGAGATAGCCATAATATCAAGTGCTCCACTGCCTGTAGCTAGTGTACCATATTAGAGTGTATGGGTAGGAGTCTTTCCGTCATCAGACAGTTCTGACAGCCAGTCCTGTTCTAGACTCCCAGCACATTTTGGAGGGCTTGCTTTTACCATTAAATGTTATAGTGAGTAGAAAACTTAGATTAAAGGTCACAGGGCAAGTATGCTTTCAGCTCTGGCAAAATACACACACACACACACACCCCACACACACACACACACACACACCCGTGTTTTCTTTTGTTTGTTTCTAATTTTTTTTGTGTGTGTGTGAGGGCATTTCTAGGGTTTGTACATAAACATAGGCTGTACCTCATGAAGCTACACACCCTCAGCCCAAACCCATTAAGAATTTCCCAAAGTGTCTTGTTTCTGGAAGCTCTGAAGACAGCTAGATCACTGGGGTTAAGGAATGTGCTTCGTTTCATCCAGCTCTGTGCAGTTACCTGAGTTGTCTGAGTAAACACAGCTTACTAATAACTAATCAGTAAATATAGCTCACCTCCCTGCTGCCAAGGTGATATATAGTCTATGAAAAACCAAAAGCAGCAGCATGCCTAGCATTGGTTTTTGTCATTGTTCTTATTGAAATGTGGAGATTTGGAAGTGGTAAAGATGGAAGTTGTACCTAGAAGAATTACTAGCAGGGCAGGGGAGGGTTGGGGAGACCTTAGGGGGAGATAGCATGCATCTAGCAGCAATATTCCTCAGTAGCAAGCCCTTCAGTACTCTTTAGCCATAATGGGGCCTGTGCCCTGTGGGGCTGAGAAAAGTCATTTGGAGATAACTTCTTATTTGAGTGTTAGCTGTTAAGAAAGGGGACACATGCTACCAAAACTAGTTTGGTGGTTTTGGTTGTGGATTTTGAGGTGTGGTGTAAGATGACGGGACAGCCATTGCCTAGGAATACTAGGAAGAAAGTTTGAGCTGTTCACAGTGAATTTTAAATTGTTGCCACACTGCTATTTGCCTGGCTTTATGCTAAGGCAACTTTAGAACTATATAGATAGTGATAAAAAAGAATCTTTCTGAAAATCATTTTGTAGCATGAATCTTAAAGAGTCTTATTAATAAAATCAAACCTGAGCCAGGTATTGGGGTGAATGCTGGAAGATCAGAGAAGCAGAACAAGCCACAGCTACCTCACCTCGCCAGTTCCTCAGCTGATCCTGTTTCCTCAGACTGGAAGCTTCTGTGTCCTCATCCAAATGGATCTCAGCTGAACTGTGCTGCTCAAAGCCTAATAGCTTAACCAGCCAAATGCTTCTAGTTTCTGGTCTTCACGCCTTATATACCTTTCTGCTTTCTGCCATCACTCCCTGGGATTAAAGGCTCACTTCTTGGGATTAAAGGCGTGTGTCACCGTGCCTGGCTGTTTCCAATGTGGCCTTGAACCTCTGGAATGCTAGGATTAAAGGTGTGAGTACCACCATTTTCTAGCTTTTGTATCTAGTGGCTGTTCTGTCTCTGACCCCAGAAAAGTTTATTAGGATGCACAATATTTTGGGGAACACAATACCACCACATCATTTTGTACTTATCCCTTCAGATCTGATAATACTGCTTTGGGAAATTTATACCCACCTTTTTTTCCTAAACAATCTATTGCTATAAGTGAATCTCCCAAGTTAAGCAATTTACTTGTAAGGATTAAAAACTAAAAAGGGTGGGAAGTTCAAGGGTATGAATCACACTTGATGAAGTTTTTCTTGCTAGTAGAGAATCCATAGATCCTTGAGGCAGTATAGGACATCACATGGTAGAAGGAACTGGGCATCCTCAGGGTCTCCTTTCTTTTTCTTCTAAAGCCACAATCCCATCAGATTAGGGTGCTACCCTTCAGGTACCATTTAATCTTTTCCCAAAAGTCCTACCTTCAGATACCGTAGTTGGCTTACATTTCCAACCACTTTATACCTCACAATGAGGATTAAATTTTAATGTGCATTTTTTTGTGGCTACTTGCAAACCATAGTAAATACAGACAGTTGAGAACACAAAAATGTTCATTACTCAATGCCCAGAAGTTAGGAAATAGTTTAGTAAATTTTGGTTGCATAAAGTAGAATGAATGTTAAACAGTCCTTTTATATTTGAGAGCATATATCCAACTTGACAAAAATACTTCCTGTAAGGGCAAAGAATTACAAATGCTTCTCAAACTTTGAGGTGTATCTGAATCATATGTGAGTTTTAGCTAAAAGGCAGATTCCAACTCAGCAGGACATAGGTCTGTCCTGATGTACATTCCTAGCCATTTCCAAGAAGTCTGCTGTTACATTTTGAGTAGCTGTTACATGAAACCTATCCAGTCACCAGGCGGTGGTGGCACACTCCTTTAATCCCAGCACTTGGGAGGCAGAGGTAGGTGGATCTCTGAGTTTGAGGCCAGCCTGGTCTGCAGAGTAAGTTCCAGGACAGGCTCCAAAGCTACACAGAGAAACCCTGTCTCGAAAAATCCGAGAAAAAAAAAAAAGAAAAAAGAAAAGAAAAAAAGCAAGTAAGCAAGCCAGGCACAGAAAGGTAGATACCTCACATTGTTATGTGTGGAATCTGAACAGTCACAGATAGAGCAGAATGGTAGTCAACCACCAGATGGGAGTGGAGGGGTGAAAATGTAGGGGTAAATATCACTTTATATTCCATAAATGCATTAACTAGAATTTGTGAATTCAATCATGAATGAATTTGTCTTAAACAGCTACAAGATGGGTAATATGTGAAAGGTTAGAAGTAGTTCCTTCTAGAAGAGGGATTGCTATTTCTCTTCCCCTGAGCAGTTTTACTTTTCTACATTTTGCAGGGGAGGGTGGTATTTCTACTGTGGATTTGTTAATATGAAGAAAGGAAGTGTGCCTGCTATGTTTTGCATGCTGTATTAGTCAGACTTTGTCACTGTGATAAACCCCAATGTAAACAACTTGAGGGAGGGCAAATGTATTTAGATGCACAGGTTTCACTTGGCTGTGCGGAAGGATGACGGAGCAGAGCAGCTGACCTGACAGCCAGCAAGCAGAAAGAATCAGGAGGCTCTGGACAAGATGCCCAAAAGTGTGTGTCCCCTTGCCCCTGTGACCTGTCACCTCCAGCTACCTCTTAGAGTTTCTAGAACCTCCCCTAGAAAGTGCTACTAGTTAGGAACATAGTTTTTTGGTTTTTTTTTTTTTCTTTTTTGAGGAAAAGAGCTTCATATCCAAATCACAACAAATGCTTATTATATTCACTTAAGTTTTCATATCCAGTGAAGGCTAATTGAATGAACAGAGGACTATAATGATGCCTACCTTGTAGGTTTTGTGGAGATTTATTCCAACCAGTCCATGTTATGTGCATGCTTGGCAGTTACTAAATTTCAATAAATGATATTTCCATGATCATTGTTTTTACCTTGTTTCATCAAGACACTTTGGGTGTAAAAGGATCACATAGTAGTAACAGACTTGAGAACAGTCATACTGTCCCCAGTGTAAAAAAAGCAATGTCAGTGCAACCACTGCCAAGGTGGCCTCTTACATCATCCTCAGGACCTCCCTGCCCGAGTGCCATACATGCTTTTAAAAACTTGACTGTGGCATGTGTGTATAGCCAGAGCTTCTTCTGTGCTTCATTACTCTTCACAGAAAGTATTTACATTTTTATTTTACAGAAGTACTTGTTTTATTTGTAAATAGTTTTTATAGTCTGCACACACACACACACACACACACACACTGTCCCATTCCTTTTCCTTAGAGAGGGTGTTCCTGAAACTTCATTTCCTTGTACACTTGCTCGGTTCCTAAACAGTGTGTTGTTTAATGTTATATAAAATGGAGTTATATAGCATGTGTTCTTTAATTTGCTGTTTCAACAAATATTTGTGTTCTTGATTTTTGTCTGTATTATAATTGTAGCTGTACTTTGTTCATTTCCCTCCATTCCACTGTATAACTATAATTTCTGCATCCTGACCACTGATAATGGGCTTTCTGTGGTTTGTGGGGTTTTATGTGTGTTGTTTGACAGCATTGTGGTGAAGATGGCTTGTGTTTCTTGACTGTGTAGGAGTATAATTTCTAGATCATAGGGCAGATAAAACATTAAGCTTTACTAAGGATGTTGTTATTTTGTAAAGTGGTTGTACTCAATTCTGCATTCACTATTAGTGTATAAATGTTCTGGTTTTTCCACAATTTCACCAACATTTGATCTAGTTGGATTTCTAGATTTTTGCCAGTTTGGTTGATGTAAAATGACACTTAGCTGTGAGTATATATTTAGCTTCTAAAAATGAGACTCTGCTGAATAAGCAATCTCTGAAGTAACCACTCAGGAAACCTTTGGAATGCAAATTGTGAATATTACATTTGAAACTCATTTGCTTAATGCTTTTGTATTATATGCTTATATTTTTCAAAATTCAACTTGACTGGCTTTTAGTTTCAAAACATTTTTTTTATTCTATATTATTACTATTTTGATTCTGGGGATTTAACCTAGATTCAACCTAGGATTCAAACATGCTGGGCAAGTAGTTTGTCACTGAACTATATACCCAGACCATTTTAATGTACTTTTACAGCAACATGTTACTACTCCATAATATAGGAATCTAAGCCATCCTCCAGTTTTGGCCAAATGTTTAATTTCAAAATTGAAATTATTAGAAATAATTATAAATTAATCTTTATGTTTCCTCTTAGTGCACATGTCTGCTTTTACCATTTTGCGTTTTTTTTTTGTTTGTTTGTTTTTGTTTTTTGGTTTTTTGAGACAGGGTTTCTCTGTGTAGTTTGGTGCCTGTCCTGGTTCTCGCTCTGTAGACCAGGCTGGCGCTTTTTGTTGTTGTTGTTAAAACAGAAACTTTCTAAGTTGATATCCTTCAAAAATCAAAGGATAGTAAATAAGAGTAATGTCCAGCATAACTAGGGAATAGTTATATAGGATGACAATCTTAAAATGAGGTTGGCCTCTGGTGAGAGAATTCTTTTTGGCAATGAAAATAAAACACTTTTTCTGTTTTATTTAGCACCAGTATGCATGAACGAGTGAACCGAACAGAAAGACAGTTTCGATCACTTCCAGATAACCAACAGAAACTGCTTCCTCAGTTTCCTCTTCACTTGGACAAGATCCGGAAATGCATTGACCATAATCAGGAGATACTGCTGACCATTGTGAATGATTGCATACATATGTTTGAAAATAAAGAATATGGAGAAGATGTATGTGAACCTTGTTCTATCTCTTTTCATTTTAGGGTAACCGTCTGTATGCCCAGGTCTTGCAGGTCATCCACTTTACTGAGAGGATATTTTCATGTGATGAAGCTAGAGGAACAGTGTGCTAGAGATAGCATTTGTTCACTGTTTTTTTTTAAGCACCTAGATAATTGTTGATGCTTTCACATGGTGTTTTGCATGTTAGAGTATATAAGAGACTTAAATTTCTTTTTTTTTTTTTTGGGTTTTTGGAGACAGGGTTTCTCTGTGTAGCTTTGCGCCTTTCCTGGAACTCGCTTGGTAGTCCAGGCTGGCCTCGAACTCACAGAGATCCGCCTGGCTCTGCCTCCCGAGTGCTGGGATTAAAGGCGTGCGCCACCACTGCCCGGCGAGACTTAAATTTCTTAAAAGACTTTACTAGCTATATTAAGTTAATTTCCATTGCTGCTTTTTCAGTGTCTTCTATTTGTTGATATTCATCTTCCACTTTAAAATAAAAATATTTTCACTTAAATCTCAAGTGACTGGCAGTAATAGAAACTGAAGTCTCTTTGTATCCTGTGATAGATACAATTTGGCTAGTCCAGTGTGAGCCATCCCTGCTGCCTATCAATGAGCTGGAGGGGTTTCCTTCCCTCTCTTGGAGGGTGGAATGTTCTGTCTCCATAAGCAGTTCAGTGCTGGTCCTTTCCCGAGGAAGAACTGCTTCACTTTGTGGTCGTTTTATGATTAGTGGATCTTCCGCTGTTGAGGGTAGAAGTGAGAGCACCAAACTTTTTTATGTAGGATCTCAAGCTGCACTTGAGTCCCTTGAGAGGCTAATAATTATTCACTGACTCACCTATATCTTAGTATGTGCATTTAACCATATTCAAAATTGATGCTCAGAAAATAATTCTTTTTTTCCCCCCCTTCCTTTTAAACAGGGCAATGGAAAGATTATGCCAGCATCTACATTTGACATGGATAAGTTAAAGTCTACATTGAAACAGTTTGTAAGAGACTGGAGTGAAACTGGGAAAACAGAAAGGGATGCCTGCTATAAGCCAATCATAAAAGAAATTATAAAAAACTTTCCAAAAGAGAGATGGTAAATACTACTGCATTTCTAACCCCTTTTTTTAAGGCATATAAGCACTTAGCTATAACATTTCATTGTGATTCATTTTCATAGCCACTCTGGGCCTGCATGTTTTTACATGTGTGAGAGATCTATTTGTTCCTGGATGTTTCAGTTGTGTGAGGTTGGAGTTTTTATGTTCAGTAACATTTGCTCTAGTAATTATGAGAAATTTGAAACTAAAATTAGAACAAATATTCATAGTCCATAATACACACTGCTTTATAAGTTTGTTTTTTTTTTTAAATAACAAAGCAATAGTGATAGATTTTACTTTATCTCAATGAGGGATCTATCCCATAGAGAAGTCATAAACTTTGAACATAGAACCTTTGGGCGTTCTGAAGCTCAGGGTCTGATTTTCAGACTAACATTTGTAAATAAATAAAATGCATAGGGCTACAAAGACCCAGCTATTTTGAAGCAAAGTTACTGAAGTCTTTAAAAAGCAAACTTGTGGAGGGCTGGAGTGGTGCCTATTATACTACATGAGGGCCTGTGCAGGCTCTTTCTAGTCTCTGAGCTGGGAGACCCTGTCCTGGCTCAAAAATAAGGTGGGAAGCAACTGAGGAAGACAGTATAAATTTTTAGTGCAACACACACACACACACACACACACACAGACATTTATATAAACAAAATAAGTAATGTATCTTAATTAAAGCAAACACTGTGCTGTTACGTACTTTTTATAATGTATTGATTAGATACAGCCTGGCAGTGGGTATAAGTACTATATTATGAAAATGCTGAATAGCTTGTACATTATTTTGATAAAAATGTGATTCCTATTGGTGACAAAGTCACAGATATTCCTACACCTACTATTGCTCATTGCCTGCATTTTGTAATTGAGGACAAATACCAATTAAAGATTATTGCAGTTAGAATCTGTTGGGGGCTGGAGAGATGGTTCAGCAGTTAGAACATGTACTTACTGCTCTTATAGAGGACTCATGTTGAGTTTCCAGCTGAACATTATCAGGCAGCTCACAGTCACCTGTACTTCCAGCTCCGAGGGATCCAATCGATGCCCTCTCTGGACCCTGTGGGTGTCACATGCTCATTTCCACACACAGACACAAACATATACATACAATTTAACGTAGACCATTAAAAAAAAATAACAGAGTAATATCTAATTCTCCTCATGCTCATAAGTCCAGTGAATTTTGTCCTCAGACCCTGAGATTCTTAGGTCCCTGTGTTTAGAACTCCTGAGTTTGATATATCCTTTGAGGAATGTCAGTACTTATGTCTCTTCTTTCTTTCTTTGAACTTTTAATTTTGGAATAACTTCAAAATTATGGTTCATGAATTGTACAACCGCCTTCCATATACTCTTTTCCAAAATTCATCAAGTTTTGGCATTTTACAACATTGCTGTATCATTCCCACCTTCTCTTTTCCTCCATCTTCCAGCACATGGATGTCTAAAACCATACTCTCAAAATTATTGTGAATTCATTTGAAACTTCAGTTAGTACTTGCCGTGTTTTCTTACTGCTTAAAAATTCACAGTTTTAGTCTTCAGGGTCTCACTGTGTAGCCCTGGGTGGCCTAGAACTTTTGGCTGACCTGGATCACTGAGATCCATCTGCATCTGCTGCTGAGTCTGGGATTAAAAGTGTGTGCCACCACACAGGTGTAGAGTTTATTCTTAAGTCTGTTCCCTTTCAGTTACCAGATTCAGGAAATTGACCCTTGAACACAGTTATGGAGCCTAATAGTATATACTCAGATTTCATAATTGCCCTGGTAGTCTCCTTGTAACATTTCCAGTCCATTCTAGAATCCAGTGCACTGGTGATTCCTATGTGAAGCAGTCTGTGAAGTGATGGTCTTTCTAACCTTCACAGTTGCAGACTGCTTTCCACTAAAAGGAAGACTCTTCTTTTCTCTCCTCTGTATATATTTATTTCAATGACCCATAGTTCCTATTGTATTCAGTAAACTATAATCTGTTACTATTATTTTAATTTTGTTGTTCGAATTCCTTTATCCTTAGGGGATTTTTCTTTCTTTTTTAAAATTACAAAGATGCATCTTTTTTATTTTTTATAAAATTTTTTTTTATTCATTTTACATACCAACCACAGATCCCCTTCTCATCCCTCCTCTTGCTCTCCCTACCCCCACCTTCCCCCACTGTGACCCACCCCCCATCCCCTGCTCCTAAAGGGTAAGTCCTCCCATGGGGGAACAGCAAAGACTGGTACATTCAGTTGAGGCAGAGCCAAGCCCCTCTCCCCTGCATCACGGATGAGCAAGGTGTCCGATCATAGGTAATGGGTTCCAGAAAGCCAGCTCATGCACCAGGGATAGATCCTGATTTCACTGCCAGGGGCCCCTCAAATAGACCCAGCTATACAACTGCCTCCTGTATGCAGAGGGTCTAGTCCAGTCCATTTGTGAAAAATATAAAGTATTTAAGACCCATGTTGTAGTTTCCTGTGAGGGTGTGGCTATTTCTCTGAGGATTTGGTTCCTTGTTACATGGAATGCTATACAGAACTTCAAAGTAGACATGAGGTCTGTTCATTGTCACTTGATGTCATTTGCTTTTGGGCATTCTGCTGCACAGACATAAACACACACACTCATACTCAGTGCTGAATTCCTTCTTTGTATACATGGCCTATCTCTTCGGTTAGATGCTTTAACTTTATGCTTTTCTGAGGCAGGATCTCATTGTAGCTCATAAGCTCATGCTGTCCTTGAATTTAAAATGCTCCTGTCTAGATCTACCTCCAAAGTGCTAGGACTATGGGCATGTGCTGCTACATCTCAGCTCAATATAGTTTATAGTGATTTTTTTCTTTTTGTTTGTTTTTGTTTTTTTATTCCTGATCCAATAATCCCAACATCAGTGTTTGTGGGTTTGTTTTGAAAACTCCCTTTATTTTCTTGAGTTTTTGCATTAGCAGTTTTGTTTTAGTGGGACATTTTATGTTAAAAAAAAAGTGAAGATGAGTGTAAATAAATTAATCAAAAATAAATGATATTTTGCTTTTTCTGTCAGGACACTAGTATAGAGGGCAGGGTAAATAATTTGTTTTAAATTTTTGAAATACTTGCAAGTATTTATTGCTTCAGACAATCTCTTAGGAAAATTTTCTATAAACCTTGTTATCAAGAAATATGGGATTATTGCTTCTTTCTAGAAAATGAACTGGTTTATAAGGTTTTGTCTGCATTTCATCTTCTATTTCATACACATTGTCTTTAGCATCTTCCTGAGACAAAGTAATAGAAATTTTGCAACAGTAAGTAGTTACTGGCCTCTTGTATAAAAACAATTACTTCTTCAATAGTAAATCAACTACTGTGTACACTGGAAATCATTGGCTTATTGATGTCATCTGCAAAAGCTAGGAGCAAGATATTGTGTTGTTGAGTCAACTTTAACACAGAATGTTTGACTATCTCACCTTGTTTAGATCCCCCCCCCTCCACTGTGTGTGTGTGTGTGTGTGTGTGTGTGTGTGTGTGTGTGTGTGTGTGTTTGGTTTTTCGAGACAGGGTTTCTCTGTGTGGTTTCGGTGCCAGTCCTGGATCTTGCTCTGTAGACCAGGCTGGCCTTGAACTCACAGAGATCCTCCTGGCTCTGCCTCCCAAGTGCTGGGATTAAAGGTGTACACCACTGCCTCCCGCGCGCGCGCGTGTGCGTGTGTGCGTGCGTGTGTGTGTGTGTGTGTGTGTGTGTGTGTGTGTGTGTGTGTTTTAGTTACTATTTTTTAAATTGTCACAATTTGGGTTTCTTGTTTCTGTTTTTTTCCATTCAAAGCATCATTTCTTCTTTTTAATTTTTTTAAGTTATCATACAGCGTAATGGGTTTCATTACGGCATTTTCATGTATGTATGTCAAATGTGGCTCTTATTCACTTCCCCATTGTGTCATGTAGCTTATTTTCAGGAGAATAAACATAAAAGGCATGGTGTAAATGCTTGTGACTTTTTGACATTTTGGATTGTACTTTCTGAATAGCATCTAGCTTTCTTGTAGGTTTTTTTGGGAGTGATTTTCATATATACTATCATCCTTCCCAGCTTGAATGCCTTTTAACCCTTGTTTTTGTTGTTAGGCGAAAAGCTTTCTCTTTTTCACCACTGAGTATAATATTAACTGTGAGATTTTCATAATTCCTTTTTTCTTGTTGAATAATTTCCATCTTTCTTAGAAAGGATGTTGATATTGTTAAATACCTTTGGATTCTATTGAGCAACCTTGTTGAGGTTCCCCTGCCCCATTTTATTAAAGTCTCATTTTCTCGTGTTAAACCATCTTTGCCTTCTTGGGAGAAGATTTGCTAATATTTTATTTGAGATTTCTATACTCATTCAATTGTAAGGGATAGTGGCTTATAGTTTTCTTTTTCTTTTGCTAGTAAGCCTTTCCTTGTACCCATGGGACATTGAGGTGATGACAGCTTGTTTTTTATTCTTCTCTGGAAAATAGGAAGCAATCTTCAGTACTTTTACTTTGAGTTGAAATACTACAAACTTCAGTCCTTAAAGGCTGCTGTATTCAGTCACAGTGCTACTACACATCTGTTTACGTGCTACACGTGGACCCTACCATTGAGCTACTCCCGTGCTAAGAGTCTTATCAGTGGCAGTTTATGAAAGATTCCATAGCTATTAGAATAATGAGCTAATTTCTTTCTTTTGGTTTTTCGAGACAGGGTTTCTCTGTAGTTTTGGTGCCTGTCCTGGAGCTCACTCTGTACATCAGGCTGGCCTCGAACTCACAGAGATCCTCCTGGCTCTGTCTCCCGAGTGCTGGGATTAAAGGCGTGCGCCTTTATCTTATATTAACTTTTTATAATTGCTTTAAGTTTATAAACTTTTATGAACATTATTACTTCTTTTTTGTTTGGTTGGTTTTTTGTTTGTCTTAAACAGAGATCCTCCTGCCTCTGCCTCTGCCTCTGCCTCTGGAGTGCTGGGATTAAGGGCGTGCGTCACCATCGCCCAGTGAACATTATTACTTCTGTAGGGATATTATTTGTTTTAAAGTTTCTAGTTTTTATTCTTTCTGAATGTCATTGGTCCTTTGCTCAATAAAGTACTAGGTAATGACTTCTTTAAAGTCTAGGTATCCCTGAAAATTCAAAGTATCTTTGTTTCTGAAAGTAGATTGTAAAGTGAGGCTCTTTAAAATTTGAGTGTACCAAATTTTGAATGAATTCCAAAGGCTAAAAGGTCAGATGCTTATGTCAACATAGTTTCAAGTATTTATAATTTTATTTATATTCAGATTCTTGAATAATATATACTATTGCGTTTAATCAGCCTTTCAATACTAGCCTATCTAAAAAAAAGCATGTCATTATTAAAGGTACTTAGTAAGCTTGCACAATAACTACTGTTTTACAGTTATTTTTCTGCTGTGATAGTGTGAGTAGGTAAATGGTTCTAGTAAATTACTTTAAAAGTAAAAGAATAATTAAAGGCATTTTTCAGTAGGTGAAGATTTCAGCGTTGAGAATTCAGAAGGATGTGACTCTCCTGTCACTGCTCTCTAGTCACCCGCTTTCCATCTCTGAAAACAGCGAATGTCACAGGCGGGATAAGGACACACACACACATAAACTTTAAATGAAATATACAGGGCGGGGGGGGGGGGGGGTGTTTATTCCCCCAGTCTTAGAGCTGATGGGAAAATTAGGTATTTCCTTCTGTATTATTTTGTCTTGTTTTTTTTAGTTTAGTTGCCTTATTGTAGATAAAGAAAGTTAAACAGTAAGGTCACACACATATCAAAGTCCTAGCTTTCCCATAAAATGTAAACTCCCAGAGTCAGGTGTAGGTGTGGTGGTCTGTACCTGTGCTCCTACTGGGCCGAGGCAGGATTATGGTAAATCTGAGGCTAGCTTGTTTTGCATAGCAATACCCTGTCTCAGATGAAGAAAAGGGCCTGCATGAGGCACATTAGTTATAGCCCAGAATTAGTTAGTTCTAGAGAAAGCCTTGTCATCTGGGTCTCAGATGGTACCACACCAATTTGGGGTGATGTTTGTTTAGAGTATGTTGGTACTCACTATACTCCAAGAAGACGTTGACAGGCAGAGTTGAAAATTAATCTTTCTCATAATTTTTAGGAAAAATACTGTTTTAAAGAAACATTTTTCTATTTATAGTAAAATAAAGATTTTAATTATATTTATGAAGGGATTTGTTAGCTTAAGGGAATCCATTTTAAAGAGTAAATGGAGGAAATATAGAATGCCAGATGCAGTTGTGTAGAGTGAAGAACATTTTCTCTCATTCTGAAAACAGGTATGTGTTTTAGACTTCATTTAGATCAGAATTTCAAATGTTTATAATTCTAGAATAATACCTCAGTGGTAAACTGTCCAAGATTAATAATTCAAAAGAAAATGGCATAAAAGGATTATAAGACAATCCTATAAGAAAATTCAAATCTAAAAAAATCTATGTTAAGAAGCTATTTTTCATATAATGTACTGCAAATTTTAAAAATTAGGCACCAGTGAAGCTGTGGAGAAACATGTTTCTCATGAAAGAAAAAAATTAGTAAAAATATTACAGAGAAAAAATTTTTTATGGAGGACAATTTTGTAGTTTTCGTCAAAAATCTTTCTTAGAGTTCAATTTTGTTGAATCTTATTTACAGATATACTTCTGAATGTGGAAATTATTCTAATATTGTAATACTAAAATATTAGAAGTAGATGCCTGTAATTGGGTTATTCATTTATTTATTTATTTATTTTGGTTTTTCCAGACAGGGTTTCTCTGTGTAGCCTTGACTGTCCTGGTCCTGGTATAATGTATCTTAATGATTTATTTGTATAGACCACTGTTCAGAATTTATGGACATATGCAGGGTGTAAATATAAGGTCCATATGTAATTTTAAATGCTTTGAAGAAAAGTAAAATAGTGGAAACAAGAAAGTTATAAACTAAATTTCTAGAATATTTCTACCACCAGGGGTCAGCCAAGTGTCACTCTGATGATACCACAAAACAAAGTGTAGTGTGTGAGTTTGCTGATTGGTAAAGGAAAGGTCCAGTTAATGAAAGCTCTGTCACGAACATTTACGTTGGTAAAGTAGCCTAGTCTGCTTGTGTCTGTTTAGTCTTGTTCCCGTAGGCCCACCTCTTCTTCACTCCTGGCTTGAATGAACTGCTGAGACTTTTCCTCCTGTGTTAGGGTCACATTTGTAGTAAGTGCACCTTACTAACTTGGTCAACTTGCCACTTTTTTGCTGAGAATCTCAAGATGGCAACATTTGATTATGTGGCCACATTTTATATATCTATCTGTTCCTGGTTTTTAAAGTTTTAAAATCACCACATCTGTATTTAAAATTTGTTTCTCTTCTCCATGAAAATAAAAAATGCTCGAGACTTCTTAAAGATTCAAATCAGCATGCATACCTTTGGGGAAAACGTCCAGTTAATATTACACATTTAGGAAAGCATACTTGCCATCTTCCCCATGCTTTGTTTGGTTCTTGATCAGTCATATTTTTATTCTACCAACTTTGTGTTAAAGCCCATGGAAAACACCTTTTTGTCATAATACAAATAGTGTGAAGACCTGGAGTATCTGCTAACTTGTGAGGTAGGGGCTTGATGTAGTCTGTGTTTTGTGTCTTGGTATCTTTTAATAGTAGTATACACACTTAAAATGCACTAAGTTCATAGTTCTGGTTAGGGAAATTTTGATAAAAGCAATCATAAAGCTAATCTTCCATAAATTACCAAATTGTTCTTGTTGGGTTTTATTTTGTTTCTTTAAAGATAGAGTTTTCATTGTGTAGTTCTGGTTGGCTTGGAACTTACTACATAGCCAAGGGTGGCCTCGAATTCACAGCAATCTGCCTGCCTCTGTCTCCTGAGTGCTGCGATTGAAGGTGTGTGCCCATTCCTGGCAAGTGTATTAGTCAAACATATGTTCCCTAAATTGATATATAAAACCAAATTACCTTGGGCTGCTTCCTTTGGGACTACATTTGTAGAGTGAATTTTCAAACGTCTATAAGTTTGTGTATGTGTATATGTACATGTATGTGGGTACACATGTGTGTGGAGGCCAGAGGGAACATTGGATGTCTTGCTCAGTTGTTCTTCCTCTTATTTCTTTAGATAGGGTCTCTCACTGAACCCGGAGCTCACTAATTCAGCTAGGTAGCTTGGCCAACAAGCCCTAGGGATCCTCTTGTCTCTGCCTTCCTGGGCTGGGATTACCTGGCTTTTTGGAGATGCAATTCAAGTCCTCAGGCTTGCATGGCAAGCATTTTACTGACTGAGCCATTTCCATGGCCCCCACTTTCTTTCTTTGCTTTAAAATGGAGTATGTAAAGATTGCTTTATAGAATACAATGCTCGCAAAAATGCCCTATTGCTTTCTGAGAGTGCAAGACCTCAGGGAACAGGTAGTTTATAAGATTTGAATGGTTTGAAATAGCATTGGATTTGTGAACCAAATTTTGGAAACATAATAGTTAAATTCTTTTTTTATAAAAATAATACCAACTGGTTACACACATTTTCCTTTGGTTCCCTATACAAAAGTCATTTTCCCCACATTAAAAAAAGTTATGTGTGTGTGCATGTGTGTTCCCTTGTGTATACCAATGCATGCGCATGGGTGCATATGTGGAGGTCAGGGGATAGCCCAAAAGGGTTGGCTCTCTCCTATGTTGGTCCCAGGGATTGAGCTCCAATTGTCAGCCTTAGTCACAGCTGCTTTTACCCACTGAGCAATCTTGCTGACCCTATAATTTGATTTGTCAGGGTTCCTGAGAAAAGTTCCCTGCTGCCTACTTTTTTTTTTTTCTAAAACTTATTGCAATTTGAAAGCAGACTAGCAGAACTTAGAGAAAAGGAACATGTAACGGCAGTATGATGGGATAAATAGGGCCCCTGGTCTGGTGCCATATATTTGTCATGAATGCTTGTCTAGAAGTACTTGGAATGGGAGCTGTGTTTGAGGCCAGTCTGGGGCTACCTAATGAAACCCTTTTGAAAAGAAGGCAGCTGCCCATTTTCTCCCAGAGACTATCCATCCCTCTACTCCTTCCTCTCTCTTTTGGGAGAAAGGTAGGGCAACGGAAACAGTTGTCTCCCAAACTACTCTGGAATTTACAGTGAGGACCAGCTAGTCTCAAACTCAGTGGCAGTCCTTTGAGCCTCCCAATCATGGAATTGCAGGTATGAGATGCTGTGCCCAGAACGTCTGCTTTTTCCTTTTTGTACCTGAGATCTATAAAATTTTAGAGATAGGCTTTATATGTTAAAATCTAAATATAGTCCATTTATTTGGTTCTGTAAATCATTGTGTTGTATGAGCTTAGAAGTGTCTTCTGCCTCATGATAAAGTAATTGTTCAAATGTCCCATATGTAATTTGGGAATCACTTTGGGAAAATTATCTTCCCAGAAACGGGAATGACTGTAAGTCTTTAGATACAGTGTGATTCTATTTTTTTTTTCTTGAAAAGTATTTTTTTTGTCACTTGATAATGTGATGATTCCTTCTATCTCTTGTTTTTATTGACATTTAGAAATACTTCAGTTTTAAGAAGTCAAGAGTATAAGTTAGCTTATGCTTATTGAATAATTCAGTAAGTTTTTAGTTGTTAATGTGGATTTTGTCTTTTTTTTCTTTCTTAATTTTTTTTTCCTCTTTGAGGGGCTGGATATAATTGCCTTGTTTCATTTCAGGGATCCTTCTAAAGTAAATATTCTGGTACCTGGTGCTGGACTAGGAAGATTGGCCTGGGAAATAGCTATGCTAGGTTATGCTTGTCAAGGAAATGAATGGAGTTTTTTTATGCTCTTTTCTTCCAACTTTGTACTGAACAGGTATTTAATTTACTTTTTGCTGGAAATAGTAAATTCTCAAAATCAAATTGCTTTACCTATTTTTGAACAATTCTGAATTAGAAGAAAAATATATAGTACTTGACTGATACAGATTATATTTACATTAAATTCATAATGTTTATACCGATTGCCACTGTAGCCAGTGTTAATTAGCTAACAGTGTTGACACAGGGCAAGCAAATAGCCATTTAAAAAGTAATTGGGCATTCCATGAATATAGGAAAGGGTTTTTTCTCATTTTTTTTAAGCTTTTTCACCTTTTGTTTCTTGGTGAAGAGTTTGTGGTAGCAATTGTAACTATTTTCCCTGACTTTGTAGTAAGTGGCCATACATGTTCACATGACTGATTTGGAATGAGATCTGAGAACCTCTGTGTCCTCTACCTGAAGGTAGTAGAAAAGAGTGACTATTTTTTAAGTCAGGAGGTACAGGGGACAGTGTGTTAGAGACAGAATTAGCTGCCTGTTTCGATAGCACGTCACTGGTATCGTATTCAGTTCTTCAGTGCAGTGCTGTCATTGGTGGCAGTGTGAGTTGCTGGTGAGATGGGGAAGAAGGCGGCTACCTATAGAGTGGTAAAAATAGGTAACACGACCAGTTTCCTTGTTTTTACTCAAATATGAGGTTCAGGAATACATTTTTGCTGGGTGTGGTGGCACAGGCCTCTAATCTCAGCTTTTGTGGGGTGAAAATAGGAGGGTCAAGAATTCAGTGTCATCCTCAATTACACAGTGAGTTCAAGGCCAGGCTGGGCTACATGAGACCCTGTCTCAAAAACCAACAAAATTTTAGTAATTTTTTGTAAATCCAAATGAATAGCACATGTGAGTCTCTGAATTTGTTTCTTTTAATCCACAGTTGGTCATCTACATGTATACACAGCTTCAGATAACTGAGTGCAGTGTAGATTGACACTTTTCAAGTCTAATAAGTTACATGTGAAAACCTTCAAGCAATAGATATTTTAGTGCTTAAAGTAGGTTCTTTTTTGGTAAAATGTGTAGTTAACATTGAACCTTGTGCTCATATTTTACAGATGTTCTGAAATTAACAAATATAAACTTTATCCCTGGATCCATCAGTTTAGTAATAATCGGAGATCAGCTGATCAGATTCGACCCATTTTTTTCCCTGATGTTGACCCCCACAGTCTTCCTCCAGGTTCTAACTTTTCGATGACAGCAGGAGACTTTCAGGAGATTTACTCAGAATGCAGTAAGTTCATAACAAGAATTTAAAGTTCTTATCTGTTAGTCTAAATGATGACCCAGTGTTATAACCATTTGTTTCAATGATAGAATATAAGGTGTGCAGTGTCAGTGACAACAGAGTATTTTCAAGGTTGTGTAAAAGGCAATGACAGGAAATGTAAAGAAATATATGTACATTCAAGAGATGTTGACTCTGTTACTAAAAGATAACTTTTAAAGAGTCCAAATATATGCCAATTGCAGTAAGGATGGAAATTTATAGTGTGGGAATGGAGCTTTCTTGTAAAGAGGCTGTGACTTGATGGACAGAGACGAATAGTTATTTGAGGTACAAAGACACCAAAGAATAAGGTCATCGGGGACTGCAGCAGGGTCAGATTGGCAAGGAAAGAAGTTTTATGGGAGATATGTCTTAAAAAGTAGGTTAGCTTCGGTTGTAGAAGACTTGTGTCAGGTTGGAAGTTAGGTTTCAGATTTTTGAAGACATTGGAGGGAGGCAGTAATGGACAAGGGAAGAGTGCAAATGGGCAGTAACAGGAAGAAGGAAAACAGAACTCTGAGCAGTAGCAAGAGCATTCTTTCAAGAAAGATCTGTTTGCCGCCTGTTAAATGCCAAGTGCATTCTAGACATTCAAAACACAGCTGTTAGTGGGACAAAGTCCCTAGGCACAGGGGACTTACAACTCTGGAAGAGACAGAGAGACCATAAATTGTTTGGAAGAAAATAAAATAAGTCCAAGAGTAGAAACTAAGAAGGAAATTGTCACATGTTTAGGGATGGCAAGGGGGTTAGGAAGAGCGCTTGGCTGTGTTCAGCAGGGGCTGCGGTGAAGTGAGTAAGGGGATGAGGGAGATAAAAGGGCATAGGGTCGGTTGGTTAGGCCAACTCAAAGCAAGAAGTTTGAATTGTAGTCCGAGAGGACAGGAAGCCTCTGGAAGAGGGCTTGGAGCAAGGGTAACAACAAAGAAAGAATGTATCAACGTGCATTCTGAAGTTAGAAAAGAACAACTGGGAGAGGTTAAGCTGTTGGGTAAATAAATGTTAAGGAACAAGATCTCAGACCAGTGAAATAGTGGAAAGCATCATGATGCAACTAAGAATCATTTTCCTCTGACTGGGACTGGAAGAGGGTGCAGGTGATTCCTTTTGGACCAGGCACTTTTACCACATCAGGATTAGAATAGACACTACATCTTGAATCTGGTCCCTACCTCTGCCTGGCAACAGCTTCTAAGAGCTAAACAGTTTTTTGGGGGAGTGGGGGGCACCTTTGCCTGTGTTTTCTCCAGCCAACTTCTCCCTGATGATTATCAAGTAATGGTAGGTATTTGGGTATTTTAATGTCATCATTTCTCAAATTGGCAAGAAAGGCCTACCTAAAGCCTGCCAGAACCAGTTGTTAACACTGGTTTAAATCGGAACTCAAAAATTAAGGTGACTATTTTGTTTTTAACAGATTTTAGATGAGATCTAGGGTAGCCCAGTCACAGAGCACTTTCCTAGCTCAAGACCCTAGGTTTAGTTACAAGCATCACAGAAGTAAACATAGTAAAACTAAAGGCTAGCAGTTGAGTAGATGCTAAGCAACTCTTTAACAGTATCATTTGGTAATATGTATTGATGTGTTAATAACGAATGATTTCCAAATTGACTACTGTATTTACTATACTGTTATCATCTTGATTATAGTGTTGATCAGAATAGTACAGTGTCTGCATCCCTTCAGTTAAATGAAATATTAACATTCTCTAAGAGTTAGTTGATAAGCTTAATAGATAGGTAAAAGAAAAACAAAAACAAAAAAACAAAATAACCGATGCAGTGGTCTGATTTCTGTTGATTAGATACCTGGGACTGTATTGCCACCTGCTTCTTCATAGACACAGCTCACAATGTAATTGATTATATCGATACCATATGGAGAATACTCAAGCCAGGTGGAATTTGGATAAACCTTGGTAAGTGCTTTAATGTTCATTAACATTTTATGCATCAGTCTGAGGATTAGAGCTCTTTTCCATTTGGTAGTGGCACGGTACCAGATGCTTGTGAATGTATAATTATGCTGTATTATCTATTAGACCACATTCAAGTGGGTGATACCTCCTGAAAGCAGTGGCAGTCCAAGCATTGGGATGTCCCTCTTAGGGCAGCCTATGGGTCTTAACTTGGGCACATACTAAGTTTAACCTGCTGATTCAGTACTTAGTCCCTTGTACTCTTCCCCCACTCCATGCATGCAGTGGCATTTCATTCTGTTAAGAAAAGAGTGTTTTCAGAGACTGAAGGAGCAAGCATGGGGCCTACATGGGTCTGCACCATGTTCTGCATATATGTTATGGCTGTTAGCTTGATATTCTTGTGAGACTCCTAACAGTGGGAACGTGTGTATCTCTGACTCTTTTGCCTGCTCTTGAGATTCTTTTCCTCCTATTGGGTTGCTTTGTCGTGCCTCAATGTGGGGGCTTTCACTTTATCTTATTGTATCTTGTTTTGTCCTGTTTTCCTGTCATCTCTTGGAGAGGGACAGAGGAAATGGAGGGGGAGTGGATCTGGGGGGAGGGTAAAAGTGGGGGGAGCTAGGAGGAGTGGAGGGAAGGGAAACGGGTTGGGATGTATTGTATGAGAGAAGAATCTATTATCAAAGAAAAAAAAGTCCACAAGGAAAAGAAGAGAATGTTTTTATTGTTTTACATCTTTGGAGGGAGGATTTTACCTTCATCATGGAATTTTCCTCTCCAGTAGATGAGATAGTTTTTCTAAAAAGCAATAGAAATACAATTTCATATATGCAAAAAACCCTTTGTACTTTGAGCCTATTGCTTGATACTAGAAGTAAAACTATGAGTGTGACTTGTTCCTTTATCAAGAATCTAAAGGGAATTGCCTATTTTCTCATCTTAAAGGTAGAGGGAATATGGTGAAATGTCCATTTAGGTGTGCCCTATGTTTAGAACGTTAACCATGCTTAGAAGATGAGACTTTCATGATGAGGACTCTACCACCGAAGAGGACGGATACATAAAGACCTAGTTTATTGCTGAGCTTCTGTCAATTACTGTGTAATGATTTTATTTTTACTGGAAATTGTTTTATTAGGATCAAGACTAGAAATAGTAAGTCTTCCCACTTTCTCTTCAGAATTTTGTTAAGATTAGATGAGAACAGCTGTAAAATGCCATCATCATAAGAATCAAATACCTCAAACCTTAGGACTTTAAAAGTAAATGCTTTGGGAAAGTTGGCCCAAGGAATGATTGAAGGACACTACTGAGAATCTATGTGTTCCCTGTGATTTAGGTATCCTTATAAATACTTTAAATTTATAACAGCCCTATCCTGTTTGTGGTCCTAGGGGTCAGAGTAGGGCCTTGTGCATCTAGACAAGTGCTCTTTCCACTGAGCTACATCCTCAGCCTCTCAGGGCAATCCTAATGAAAAGGCTCTATTTACTAATAGTGGAAGAACATGAGTCCTGGTTAAATAACTACCAGAAAGGTCCTGGAGTGTACTTGTGAGAGACAGGCTCATAGCCTGACACAGTGACTTTGTGCTTAGCATTAACATGACACTATATATACAAAATTGAAGGTTTGGACACTAGTTATTGAGTTTGTTGTCTTTCTAAGGTACTTTATTTAACTGATAAAAGCAACTTTGTGCATGAACACTTGTTTTATTAATATTTTATTAAGTTATATAACAAATGCCTGAAACAAAGTCGGCTCTTCTAAGCAGGGAGGCTGTTAGCTAAAAGTAGTTAGGCTACAGTATGTCTTCAGTGTCATGGACGGCAGAAGTCATGGATCAGGCAGCTTACAAGGACAGTTAGACCTGCCAGTCATCTAGTCACAGGCTTCCCAAACAATCTGAGGAATTACAATAATGGAAAAACCTACCTTACCTTAATACTTTATAAATAGAGTGTTTTGCATGTATAAGTTAAAGAATATTAAAAATAATAATCAGGGCTGGAAAAATGGCTCTGCAGTTCAGAGTGCATGCTATTCTTGCAAAGGATCAGAGTTCATTTCCCAGCACTCACATTAGGTGGCTACCTGTAGCAACACCTATAACCCCAGCTCCAGATGCCTCTAGCCTCCCTCCACAGGCACCAGCATTCATATACCTGTACATGTACACGTAATTAAAAGCAAAATCTTTAAAAATAATAAGGAATCTAATTTTCCTTAAATATGGGTATGTCCTTGATAAAATCAGTGTTCTTTACTTTTTGTACCACGTGCTGGTTCTTTACTCTGTTCCTTCTACCCAATTGCATGTTTTCCCCTATTGCTTTTAATTCTCTGTCAGTATTTCTGATTCAAATAATGCTCTTGTGTTCCAAGCCAGTTTTGTCTTTCATGGATTAAAAAAAAAAATTAAGATATCTCAAGATGATTCTGGTGCCTCCCTGATATGTTTCTATACCTGGATCTGCTCAAACTCCCTCACCAAATATTGGGAGAAAGTCTTTGATCTTTTGATTAGGCTGGGCTGCTAAAACAATGCCTAACAGATTGGATAAACAGCAGACATTTATTCTGTCATAGTTTTGGAGATAGGATTCCAAGAATAAGGTGTCAGCCAGATTGATGTCTGGAGAAGGCTCTCTTGTGTTGCAGTCATAGATTACACATAGCTGCTGTCCCAATTAGAGTTACTACTGCTTTGATGAAACACTATTACCAAAAGCAAATGGGAAAAAGGGCTTATTTAGCTTTATATTTCTATATTGCTGTTCATCATTGGAGGAAGTCAGGGCAGGAACCTGAAGGTAGGAGCTGATGCAGAGGCCATGGAGGGGTGCTGCTTACTGGCTTGCTTTCTTATAGAACCTAGGACCACCAGCCCAGGGATGGCACTACTCTCAATGTGCTGGTCCTTCCCCCATCAATCACTAATTAAGAAAATGCCCTACAGCAGTGGTTCCCAACCTTCCTAATGCTGCTATCCTTTTATACAGTTCCTCATGTTGTCGTGACCCCCAGCCATTAAGTTATTTTTGTTGCTACTTCATAACTGTAATTTTGCTGTTGAATGGTGTCTCTGGTCCTAAGACTTCAGAAATCTGTGTTTTCCCATGGTGGTGACCCACAGGTTGAGAACCACTGCTCTACAGGCTTGCATACAGCTGGATCTTAGAGGCATTTTCTCAGTTGAGGCTCCCTCCTTTTTGGTGACTATGGCTTGTGTCAAGTTGACATAAAATTAGCTAGCACAGCTGCTTTCTTGATGCTGTGCATTTACCTGACTCTTTGGTAAGTAAGGCTGTGGGGCTGGAGAGGAGAGAGCCAGAAGACAAGCATTTGACCAGGTGTTTTACATGGAGAGACTAATTATGCCAGGTCTTGACCCCATTTTTATGCTCTTATTAACCATAATTGTTTCCTGTTGCCTAATAGTCCCCAACTTCACATGCAGCTGAACTCAACACTAAGGTTGTCACACATCAACTGGGAAGGGGAGACATGGGACCCAGACATTCAGTCCATATCACCTCCTCCTCTTCAGAGTTGAGCTGAAAGCTGAACTTCTTAAAGTTCCTGAGTACCTCTGACTTTATCCTAGTTTCTTAACTGTGGCCCTACTGTCATTTGGGGTAGGGTTATTTATTCTTCAGGGATGGTGGCAGGGGGTCTGTTCTATATATCACAGGGTTGTTAATGGCATCCTTGGCTTTTGCTTACTGGATTTCAGTAGTATCCCCCAGTATGCTAAGTAAAAATCATCCTCAGACATTGAAAATGTTCCTTAGCAAGGCAGGATTGTTCCCAGTTGAGAACCATTGCTATAACTTCATCATTGCTTCCCTGGAGTAAGATGTAGTAGTCCTTGGGGTATCTGAAACTTCATGTCCCTTTCATTTTCCTTTCATCCCCCATCAGCAGGGTTACCTTTTCAACATGCAGATCTGTGCCCGTCAGTATAGCTTTTTTGATATAACTGTATAGCTTTTTTGATAACTCCTACTCTTCAAGGTTATACGCAGTGCCTCTAGTGATCTGGCTTTGCATCCTCCCCCAGTTCCTGCCCCTTTCCCCTTTTCTCCATCTCTGAGTTGTATGACAGTAAGGCTCTAATGCCTCCTAGTCACTGAGTGTGGACCCTGGCAGATAGTGGGTCTTTACTGACTGCTATGCTTGTAGATGAATGTATTCAAGATTTGCAAGAACAGACAAAGTCAGACGGGGAGATTGGCTGCCTAGAGACACGATACAACGGCATTTATACTAGTAAAAGACATCTCTATGGTTTTGATGTCAGCCATATGGATGTAGAGGCTTAGTTTTCTTTGTACACTGAGAATGTATCAGCCCCCTTAGAAGTGGGTTTTACTATGTGATTATAGAGACTAGAATCAATATTTTCATATGTAAGAGTTGCAACTGCCAGCAATCTTCTGGTTCTGACATTGAAGCAAAATTAGTGAACAGCTCCCCAAATTGCGTCAAGTCAGAGTTGTAAGGCTCTGTAACTTACAAAAGCCTTAAAGGAAAAGTTAAGACACTTTTTATAACCTTCCTCAGGTTAGGGAAAGCCAGTGACTTGTTACTGTAACTGTTAAGTCTATGTTAAATGTAGCCTTTATCCAGTTTTTCTGGCCCTATCATCTATGAATGCTTTGTATTTTCTTAAAGGGCAAGGGGAAAAAATATGAGTAAGTGATAGGTATGGGGAGTATATGTGGCCCACAAAGCCTAAAGTATTTGCTAATATTATATATTTGTTAAATTATATTTTCTATCAGAGAAAAATAATTAGATAAGGGCTAACACTAAAAGTCAGTTAATGAACAGGTATGCCCAATAAATTTTAGACTGGACCTCTCTCCTAACAGCAAGAAATGGATAAGTAGTTTTAAGACTTCCACAGTAAGTACATTCCTTAGAAAGATGCTAAAGCAAATATGTAATTCTTCTCACTGTGCATCAAGGAAACCCTCAAGGAGATATAGTGTATCTTTTCTTTTGATGCTGTTTCATGATGCCTTAACTTTCTATTATGAGCTTACTCTATATCTTATGATCAAGGAAAATACATCTTTGTTCTTTCTCTTAATATGAAGAGAGATGATAATTGAAAACAAACAAACAAAAAAAAAAACCTGGCAACTGCTGTTTGGGTTTCTGTAACTCCAGTTTCCCCTTCCCAGAATATCATATAAACAGAACCATACAGTGTAGTACTTTACTTTATGTATCTGGCTTCCATTGTCTAGCATGATGCTTTGAGACTCACTTAGGTTGCTGCATAACCAGTGTGGTGTTCCCTTTTATTGCTGAGTCATACGTCACTGGATGGATGGGTGATATTTTGTTTATCAGTTCTCAGTGGATGGACATTTGATTTTTTTGCCATACTATGCTGGTTAGGAATAAAGTTGCTATGGACACTTGGCACAGAATCTTAAATGTGGCTACAAGATTTCATTTTTCTTGGGTTAGCACCCAGTAAAGAAATTTCTTAGTTATATATGATGAGTGCGGAGCAAATTTTGCCAGAAACTACTGATCTGTTTTTCAGAGTGATGGTACCATTGCATCTCACCCCGATAAAGTTTTGAGACAATACTCTCCATGCAGTTATGAGTGAAAATCTACACAGATCTTTCCTAACTTGAAAGTCTAAATTGCACAAGCCAAGCTAAAGCCAGGCATTCATAAGTAAAAATAAGTCTGTATATTTATTTGGTAGCTGGGTAGCAGGCCCCAAAGATTAAGAAAATCAACTGCACAGCATGGTAAAGCTATACTAACACAAAAGGGTGGTGACTGACAACGTATTTTTGTTTCATACATTATATCCATTGTATATAAAATAAGCCACAATTCTCAATTTTTAAATATTGTATAATAAAGAATTTATCTGGGCTTATTAAAAAAAAGTAAGTCTAAATTGCTCAAAAATCTAAAATCTTGATATGCTAAGTAGCAAGTTCAATACATGATCTCATCTGATAGATCACAGGGAGTGTATATGCACTAAAAATACTGTGTAAAATTAGTGTTAGAGTTTAGGGTTATAGCCCATTGGTATAGCCTTACTGTAAGCAAAGCCCTTGGTAGTCCATACTGTCCAGACAGACTATTAGGTTATGTGATTAAGTATATATGAAACAAACTAGTGTTCAACTCAGTCCCCTTTTCTATCTCCTTTTGTATATGTAAATATTCCAAAATCTGAAACACCTGTACTCAAGCACTTAGGATACGGGATCTTCCATCTCTAACTCTTTTGGCAATTTGAACCAAGTCAGTGAAAATATTTGTTGTCTCAAATGTCTTTGTGTAAGGGAAGATCTGAAATATGTAGAGATATCTGTCAAAGGACAATTTATAACAAAAGACTACAGAGTGTATTCATACCACAGTTCTTGTCCTTGACTGGTAATGTTATAAACACTTAAGTTAGACAGTTAGCACTTACTAGTCATTTTGGTAGACTTAAAAGAAACTTAAAGACATATTTGGGCTGGTGAGATGGTTATGTGGACAGGAATGCTTTCTGTGCAAGCATGAGGACCTGAATTTGATTCCTAGCACCCACATACAAAGTCAGGTATTCAGCCTGGAGTCATAGCTTAAAGGTTAAGAGCACTTGCTGCTCTTCTGGTGAACCATAGTACATTTCTCAGACCCATGTTACGTGGCTCACAACAACCTGTAATTCAAGCACTGGGTGAATCTGATGCTTCTTCAGGCCTCTGCAGGTATCCGTACAAATGTGGCATACACTCAACACTGACACATAAATAAAATAAAAACATCTTATAAAATGAAAAGCCAGATGTTGCCATGAATATGCCTGAAACCCCAGCGCTGTTGGAGACAGAGATAAGAGAGAGGATCACTGGGGCTTGCTGGCCACCACCATAAATGGTGCCAGGTTCAGTGAGAGACCTTGTCTCAAAGAAATAAGGTGAAGAATGATAGAGAGGGCTATCTAGTGCCATCCTCTGACCTCTGTGTGCACATATGTGTATATACTACACTCATATGTGTCATATTGCTTGATGCTTAGTTTGCAGATATGAGAATGCTGATATTTACCTGAAAGTAGTGTGTGATACAACACTACAGTAAATGAGTTCTAAAGGACGTACTATGAAGGGTTTATTTTAGCTTACAGAGTATAGTCATTCACACAGGGAAGCCAAGGCAGGCAGGAGCTCGAAGCAGAAACTACAGAGGAATTCTGCTTTATGGGTTGCTTGCTCAGCTACTTTTCTTACACACCCTGGGCTTGCTGTTTAAGGATGGCACTGCCCACAGTGGACTGGGCTCTTTTACAGCAGTTAGAAACCAGAAGATGCCTCACTAACATACCCACAGGTCAATCTTATGGAGACAATTCCTCGATTGAAATGGAGACAATTCCTCGATTGAAAGACACAACTAGGCCGGGCGGTGGTGGCGCACGCCTTTAATCCCAGCACTCGGGAGGCAGAGGCAGGCGGATCTCTGTGAGTTCGAGGCCAGCCTGGTCTTCAAAGCGAGTTCCAGGAAAGGCGCAAAGCTACACAGAGAACCCTGTCTCGAAAAACCAAAAAAAAAAAAAAAAAAAAAAAAAAAAAGACACAACTTTTCCCAGGTGCATCAAGTTGACAACCAAGGTTAGCCATTGCAAGAATGAACAAGCAGCCTGAAGACTTAGATGGATTTCAGCAAAATTATGAAGCACAGTGTAACACAAATTCTAATAGGTTTTTTAATAAAAAATCCCCGAGCCTGATATTGGGGTAAATGCTGAAAGATCAGAGAGACACAAAGGAACAAGCCACAGCCACCACCTCTTCCCTCACCAACTCCTCAGCCTGAAAAAAGTTCAGTTCCTATTTCTTCATACCTTGTATACCTTTCTCTGCCCAGCCATTACTTTCTTCTTAGTGCTGGGATCAAAGGCGTGTGTGCTTCCCAATCAAAAGCATGAGATCTCAAGTGCTGGGATTAAAGGCATATGATTCCCAAGTACTAGGATTAAAGGTGTGTGCCACCACTGCCTGGCTCTGTTTCTCTCCTAGACTGAGTCAATCTAATGTAGTCCAGGGTGGCTTTGAACTCAGAAAGATCGAGATGGATCTCTGCCTCCCGAGTGCTAGGCCTCTATGTTTAGTCTAGTGGCTTGTTCTGTTCTCTGATCTGTAGGCAAGTTATATTAGGGTACATAATATATCAGCATAGCTAAAGTTTGAGTTTGAGGGATAGGGCTTTATAGGCTTTTGAGATCAAACATGGAAGTGGAAAGACAATTACATATGACTTATTGGGAGGAGTGTATACCTACAAAACTGATTTTCAGATGCTCTTAAAACAATAGAGCAAAGGGGTTGTAGAGATGGCACAGTGGTTAAGAGAACTTACTGCTCTTGCAGAGGACCCAGATTTAGTACCAGCACCCACACAGTGGTGGCTCACAACCTTCTGTAACTATGGTTTCAGGAGGTCCTGATGTCATCTTCTGCCTTCCTCGTGGTTCATACACATACTTGCAGGTGAAACATTCATGCACATAAAATAAACATTTATATAAAAGTGGAACAAGCATAAAATAAGCTTCAAAGGCTGTAAAGATTGCTCCGAGGCGCTGCACTCTATACAAAGACTTTGATATAGTTTAGGACTGAACAGATGGTCAGAAACTGGCTAGTAAGAGTAGGTTTTTTGTTTGTTTGTTTTGGTTTTTTTTTTTTTTTTTTTTGGTGTTTTCGAGATAGGGTTTCTCTGTGTAGCTTTGTGCCTTTCCTGGATCTCGCTCTGCAGACCAGGCTGGCCTCGAACTCACAGAGATCTGCCTGCCTCTGCCTCCCCAGTGCTAGGATTAAAGGCGTGCGCCACCACCGCCCAGCAAAAGTAGGTTTTTAAAGAACACTTATTTTGAAGGGTGTGCTAACATATAAACTATATTCATGGTCATTTACTTTAGTGGTTTAGGTAGGGTAAAAATAGAAGAGGGGGGCTGGAGAGATGGCTCAGAGGTTAAGAGCACTGACTGCTCTTCCAGAGGTCCTGAGTTCAATTCCCAGCAACCACATGGTGGCTCACAACCATCTGTAATGAGATCTGGTGCCCTCTTCTGGCATGCAGTCATATATGCTGTGTACATAATAAATAAATAAATCTTTAAAAAAAAAAATAGAAGAGGGGCCAGCATGACTAGATTCCTAGCATTTGAGAAGCTGAGGCAGGAAGATTTTAGTGTTCAAGACCTCCTGGGCTACATTGAAAAACCCTACCTAGAAACTAAAAGAGAAGAAAATGTTTGCCTACAGGATCACAGAATGGCAAAGCCTCTTAGGAGCAGAAACTGTCTCACCTGTTACTTTTATCTCTCTTCTTGACTTTTTTTTTTCATCTCAGTTTGTTGTCTGAGGAGTATAAATGGCTAGCTCTATGTAGGATTGATGATGAACTCAGTCAAAGGTAGAGACAAGACTATACAGAGGAATCTGAGGGCACAACTGTGATGTGATGTTTTCTTGGCTGAAACTGCAGAAGTTTGGATGACTGTGTTCAGCAAATGCAGTGGACCTTTTCATTTTTCCCGTATTTCCTACTCAACTAGTACATCTAGGGCATGCAGTGTTCATGTAACTCACTCATAGTATCTTCAAACCATAGGTCCTCTACTGTACCATTTTGAAAATCTGGCCAATGAACTGTCTATAGAATTGAGCTATGAGGATATTAAAAATGTTGTTCTTCAGTATGGATTCCAGCTGGAGGTAAGAATGGAAAGAAACAGTGCCAGAGTTTAGCTTGCAAAGCCTTTCAACAGGAATACAGACATTATAGCAGTTACTAACTTTACTTCTTCACTTTTCTTTTTCTCAATTCAGATAGAAAAGGTATTATTAAATAGCTTTCTTAATTGTAAGATTTGGAACAATATGTATGTAAAGGGAAAACTATTATTCTTGTTGAAATAGACCTTCAATAAATGGTAGCTGATAATGGCCTGGGTAATCTCTTACTGACAGGTACCGAGTAGACTAGGCTCTGGAGAAGGCAGATGATTGGAAGGCAGGCATCAAAGAAACAGTTCTATCTTATTTTCTACCTCCTGGCCTTTCTCCTCTCCCCACCCCCTTATTAAATAAGACTTTACGGTACTTTGGCTGTTGAGTTGGTTATTTACTTATTTAGGACTGTTCCACTCATTTATAAAAGAATGGATTTATTCTTAAGAATAAAGACAAGCAATGCATTTATAGTACTTCATAGTTAAGATTGCCTGAATTTGAATCCATTTTTAACCAAGTGTTAGCGGTGTGATACTGAACTTATATGACCTGTTACTTTGTAAGTGGGATGATGGATGTTATCAGTCTATTGTTTAAATATAGTTAGGATAGTGCCTGCCATTACTAACATCTTATTTGTTAATAGTGTTGTCATCATGATCTTACTTTAATTTTTGTTTGTATTACAGGTGGAAAAAGAATCTGTATTGTCAACATATACTGTGAATGATCTCTCTATGATGAAATACTACTATGAATGTGTTTTGTTTGTGGTCCGGAAACCACAGTAATGGTCTTAAGTGATATTACTCAGAAAAAAGTTTAATATGAGCAAATGCTGAAATAAACAACTCACAGTCAACTATCAGTGACAACAGGACACAACCTCAAATCAGTGGTGCCTTCTTATTCCTAACAAAATTTAGAAATAGTGTCTATTTTCTTAATATCTATTGCCTTTTTCAGAAATATACTATACCATGCAGATTCATACTGCACAAGAAAAAAAATGGAGAAAATGTCTCCCATGCAGATATATAATGGAGGAAATATCTTCAAGTACTTTTTTCTTTGAAGCCCAGAATTGTCTTTCTTTAAGAAAATAAACCTAAACTCCAGTCTTCATGAAGCTGTTACAAGTCTGACATATTAATGACTGATAATGCTAAAGTCCATACTAATCTCCTTTTTGGGTTTTACATTACCTGTGTTACTTTTAGAAGAGTCCAAGGATCCTCTGTCATATTTAGCATCTGGAACTGGAACTCTGTTCTCATTGGACCTACGTAATCTATACTTAAAGAATTTTGAAACTGTTCTTCCAGTAGTTTCATTCAAATTCGGGACTTTTTTTTCCTTACCTCAGCTGAATTTAGAGAGGCATCAGATATGTCTTCTATGAAGTATTTATTCAGTTGTATCACAGGTGAAAATTCAATGAAATATATCAACAGAGAAATTCAGTCTTTATCCATGCTAAACTGAATCTTATAGAAATTCCTGGATCCCTTTAAAATATGTAAGATATAAACATTCAGAAACACAAAAGTTTTTTTCTTTCTTTTTTTTTAAGCAGTGTTGAGTAACTGGGAAAATAAGAATAAAATCTGCCCATCTGAAACATAACTTCAAATTAGAAATGAGTTATAAAGTTTGTCAGTGTAATGTTTACAATGATGTCTTTTATTAAGTATGTGGCTTATGAAAGCAAGCACTTTTTTTTTTTAGTTAAAGTGTATTTTAGTAAAAACTGTCATGATAGAATTAACGTGAGAAGTTTGAGTATGAAATTCAGGGATAAGTTAATGCCCATGGTCTGTGTCTTCAATATCCTAGGCAGCAACTATTCATGGAATTTCGGATTAATAACAGTTTTGTCCCTGATAGAGTTGGAGTTTAAACAGTGTGTGTGCTGCTTTAATTTTCTACCTCTAGGGAGGCCTGTTTGGGAGGGAGTTGTTGCTGTTAATTTTAACGTTGGTTATTCCGTTTCCATTAGCTAGGAAAGCAAAGATGACTGATACTTTAACTTCTACAAGAAAAGAAAGCTCTTGCTGAATATTTCACAGATGGTTATGACCTCTGTGACATTTGGATTAGATGGATTTAATATATGCTGGTGGTTGAACTGCCATGTTGCCATGCTTTAATAGGAAGCCTTACTGTACGTCTTCAGGCCTTTGTGTTGCTTAGGTTGGGGAGTCTGTAGGATCTGCTCTTTCTGGTTGGAGTTCTACACAGTGTGGGACTTTTTCTCATCTGCCCTCCCCGATGCAGTACATGGCTCCATGGAGTGAATTTTACTTTGGCCATGTAAATACATAGTCTCCTTACCTTTTAAAATTATTTCTTCTTCTTCCAGTGTTCAGTACTTCATAAATGTTCATTTGGTAAAGAAATTCTCATTACTTACTATTTGCAAGGGTGAAAAAATCTCCCAGAATTATTTTTTTAACAAAAAAAAATTTAAAGAAATGTATTTTAAAAGACATTGAAGAGCAAGGAATGCATGTTTTTGGTTTTGTTTTGTTTTTTTTTTTTTGTTATTTAGGAATGCTTTTTATTCATTTTGTAGTGTTTTTTTATAGCCTGGTTTTGTTTTTCTTACAAAGACAAGAATAGACTGTCACCACTGGGTTGGTTTTGTTACCTAGAGTTTTTTCTTTTCTGTCATGTTTTACTCTTTAATAATATTACTTACATTTCTAAATTATATATTTTACTTAACTCTGAAATCAGTTATTTCATTTATTTCTAGTTTTCCTCATATCATGAATGTTTTAAAAATATTCCTTATAAATTTGCATCACTCTTTTCTCTTGTGGCTTTTGAAGTTAATATATTCTAAATGTGGAAATGTGGTATAAATCAATAGAAGTGTCACTGGAGGAGCTTAGTTTTTTATTTTTTTATATTTAGGTCTATTGAAGTGTGTAAGCCTTAAGTTTTAAGTTCTTTTTCTTTTTTTTTTTTTTTGGTTTTTCGAGACAGGGTTTCTCTGTGTAGCTTTGCGCCTCTCCTGGAACTCACTTGGTAGCCCAGGCTGGCCTCGAACTCACAGAGATCCGCCTGGCTCTGCCTCCCGAGTGCTGGGATTAAAGGCGTGCGCCACCACCGCCCGGCTTAAGTTCTTTTTCTTAAATTTGCTCTATACACAAATGTTTTCATCTTCATAAGGTGATCATGTGCTTGCTGTTTTTAAATTTCAACTTTCTGAAGTGGTGCAAATTTAGGTTCTGATCAATGAGCAAGATAGGGCATATAAAATATACAGGGAAGCTGCAGAAATGACAGTATGAAATAATCAAGTTTGAGAACTGTAAAGTATATGGTATTTATATGTAATTCACATTCTAAACATTGCCAGAAGGTTGAATTGGAAGCTTCATGTCTGCATGAAATTTCCTATATTTTTAATGTGTATATGGACTTAATTTTTCTTAAATATTAAAGTCTGCCAATTGCTATAACAGTTTTTGTTGGTTGTTTCCCTCTGTGTAATGATGGCCATAATGGAAATATTATTTAATCACATTCTTTTCAACTCTGTTATCCTAATTTTTGTATGCTTTTAGAAAGTTAGTTATAGTGAGTATTTGACCTTTGAGTTTGCCAAGGTGGGTAGTAGTTACTTTCTTCACATTGTTTCATTCATGTTCGCTATCGTGAATTGTGAATCCCCCAAGGAAAAGGATTAGTCTTGACAAAGGCTAATTGCAAAAAAAAGTTCCAGGATGAGCATTTTTATCATCTGGGTTCATTTTCCTTAACTCTTCCTTATCACTGGGGGTGGGGAGCAGTCTCTGAAGACTTTTGGCAGAGGCCTCCACGAGTGTCTCAGCAGAAGCCTACTGGGGAGGACTTTACACTTTATTGTGACTTGGTATTTTCTCCACTCCTGGTCCTTTCTGTCCTCTGTACTATCAATTTTCTGTTACTATGACAACGTGCCTTTAAAGTAAAAAGGATGGTGGGTTTATTGTTTCGTCTCAGAGTTTCTCTCCATGCTTACTTCGCTGTTTTTTGTTTGTTTGTTTTTTTGGGGGGGGAGTAAGGAGCAGAGTGGAGTGAAGCTGCTCACCACATGGCAGCTGGGAAGCAGAGGAAGCATGAGATTAGAAGGGCCAGGGAGAGAAATAGTCCCAGAGGCATGCTCTGATAGTGGTATATCCACCTCATAGATTTCATCTCCTAATACTCCATCCAAGTATGAAGTCATCAAAAAAATAATCCATTTGTGAGGTCAGAGCCTTCACTGCTAAACAATCATCAGGGATCAAGCCTTTAACATATATACTACTGAGGGACCTTTTATACTCCATCCCTACAGCATTTGCCCATCCACAATATTGCAGAAGTCTTTTCAGAGCTCCCTGAGTTGTGAAGACCTATCTGTTAATGTACCTGACCTCGGTGCACTGTTTCAGGAGGGTGGAAAGAGAAATGGATCCCTTTTCTGCCTTAGTCTCTGTATGATGGTTCTCTAGAGTCACAGAACTTATAGCATGAATACATATATTTATTCACCCAGAAGGCTGGGTGTCTCAAGCTTGTCTTCTGTATATGCTGAAATCATCAAGTAGACTCCAATGCCAGTGAAGGAATGGATATTCTGACAAGGTGAGGGCAAACATGCAAAAGAATGAATAGCCTTCCTTCTTCCATTGTCCTTAGGCTTCCAGCAGGAGGTGTGGCTTAGATTAAAGATGTACCTTCCCACCTCAAAATCTGGATAAAAGGCATGTGTCATCCTTCCTCAAGATCGGGATCTCAGGTGTGCCCTCCATTTCTGGGCTGTAATTCATTCCAGATACAGTCAAGTTGACAGCCAAGAATAGCCATCACAGTCTCTTACTCCATTTCAGCCTGTAATTAAAACCTTGACAGTTACTGTCTTAGGGTTTGTGTTGCTGTGCAAAAACACAGACCAAAAGCAACTTGAGGAGGAAAGGGTTTATTTCAGCTTACAGAGTCCAACAGCACAGTAGATCACTGAAGGAAGTCAGGGAAGGAACTCCAACAGGGCAGGAACCTGGTGGCAGGATCTGATGCAGATGCCTTGGAGGACTGATCTCTCTTGGCTTGCTCCTTATAGCGTGCTCAGCCTGCTCTCCTGTACATCACAGGACCACCTGCCCATGGGTGGCACAGCCTACAGTGAGCTGGGCCCTCCCACATCAAGAAAATGCACCACAGGCATAGTGGGGAAGGGGTGGGGTGTGTTCTCATTGATGTTCCCTCTTCCAGAAATGACTTAGCTTGTGATACAACTGCCCGGCATGGTTACTTTCAGTTTTGCTTCTTGTTTAAATCTCCTGTTCTAACACTGGTAAGCTCATCTCTGGCTCTAGTTCCGATCCTCCAGGACCCTTTGCTTTCTGTCCACACACATGCCATCCTGTTTCACATAGGATCAAACTGACTATTGTAACAGCCTTTCAGAGAAAGAATATTTATAGAAATAACAAAAATATCTAATACCCAGCAAATAAAGTTCCCAATGTGTGGCCAATCAACAATTGTTAAGAGCACATACTAACTACTCTTGGAGAGGACCCAAGTTCAATTCCAAGCGCCCATGTCAGGCTCCCTGTAACTCTAGATCCAGGGGATTTGACAGCACTTATGGGCTCACAGGTGCACATATCCATACACAGACCAATGCATATACATAATTAGATGGAATCTTGTTAATTGCTATGTGGGTCAGAGAGCAGGAAATGGAGAAAGACCAGTGAAATTAGACCAGCCCCAAACTAACACTGATTATAAAATTAGCAGAGAACAGTTAAAACTGCAATCATATATGTTCAGACATTATCAGATACTTGAGAAGAATAAAAATGGTCCAACTTGAATTTGTAAAGGTGAAAAGTGTGTATTATGGGATGGAAAACCGTGGCATTGAGGAAAGAAAGCTATGGTGGCTTTGCTCAGGTAGGCGTGCTTATGTTCTATTTGAACTTGGGGATGTTTCACACTTGCTGTGACTTCTGCTGAGGGTCACTCCCACTCTGTGACTTTCCCTTCACTCTCCTTAGGCCTTTACCAGACAATCAAAATAGAGGTCCTTTTTGCCCACTAACTCCTCTCTGCCTTTATTTTCAATCACCTTTATTTGACAGCCTTATTTACTAAACAGTCTTAATAAGAAACACAGAGCCAAATACAGAGGAAAAAGCCAAAGAGATCAGAGCAGTAGCTACGACTAGCTTTAGCTTACCACCAGAAGTAGCTTCCCCACAGAGAGAGACCTCTTCCTGCTTGACTTGTGTTTTTATTGCCTTTCTGTTCTGCCTTCTCATTGGCTCTAAACCCAACCACATGACTTTGTCACTGCCTGTCTATACAGACCTCCAGGTCTATGGTTGTTACTGGGATTTAAGGTTCGTGTCACCAAGCTTGGCTGTGTCCTTGACCACACCGAGACTCCGCCTGCCATGTGATCGGATTAAGGGCATGTGCTACCACCGCCTAACTCTGCTTATGGCTCGCTTTGACCTCTGATCTCCAGGCAACTTTATTTGTTAACATACAAATAAAATCACATTTCAGCACAAATAAAATATCACCATATATAAATTAAATATATACACTGAGTAGCTGCAGGCCCGAGTGGGACTGGAGATAACTCCAGCAACAGGCAGGGGTTATTTAACGTGTTCCATAGCAGATGCTTAGTTACTCAAAGAGTGAACTGTGAATAAATACAAGATTATGGGGACATACAGCTATACTTCTGGTATGAATCCTGGGGGAATGAATGATAGTATTTAGGAAACAGTGGAATGCAGTAATCACACACCCATGAAACAACTAAGTAGAAATGACAGTCACTATTTCAACAAATTCTAACCACCTAATATATGCCACACACTTGATTATATCAGTGAAAATACAAGGAGCCTGATGTCACAGAAGCTATGTATCCATGAAGTCTCATGAACATAACTGCCTAAACATGAACTGAACAAGAACACCACCAAAAGACATGTTAACATGGGAGGGGGAAAGTTCACAATGCCTTAACCCTAGTTTAAAAAAAACAAAAAACTACAGGCAACTAAGAAATGTTGAGATCAGGAAAAAGTCTTCCCCAGGGAAGAACACACCAGTTGGTTACACAATACCAAGTGGTATTGTACAAGCATACATACACATATAAATAACATACAGACTGAGCAGATTTACTTATATATTTAGGAATATACACAGACATAAAACAGCCATGAATTGGAAAGAGTAAGGGGAAAGAGGACAAAAAAAGGAGGAAGTAATATAATTTCAAAAAATAAAAACACCAAGACTCTTTAAAAGAGCCCTAATTACCAGAAACTCATTTCTAGTGTGGGAGACAAGAGTAACAAGTGTGAGCTGCACTTTTCAATATGGTGACCAGAGTTGGATACATTGAGCAGCTGACCAGGATTCGATGCTTGGGAGGATTACCTGTTCAACTGGTAATAGGTTTCAACATCTTAAAAATTGGTATCTACAAGATCTGCAAAACAAAAACTAGAAGCCAACCATTTAAAACTGCTTTGTAAGGTTCTTGCCAGTCTGCAGCAGACATGTTTAATGATAAGCAGAATCAAGCCATGTGCAGAGGCTCCTGCTGGTAGCTCCAGCAGCGGGAAAAGCAGAGGTAGAAGGACTAGTCGCCTGAATCCAGGAGCTGGAGGACAGTCTGCATGAAATAGTGGAACTCTCAAACAAAACAGTACATTCTTAAAAAGGTATTCCTTCTTTACCAAGAAAACCGGGGAAAGGGGTTATTAAAAACCAACGTCTGGTTCAGTACTGAAAAGATAAACCAGGCTACATTTTATTTTTGTGACATCTGTTCACTGTATGTGTGTAAACTTGCCAGCCACACCGGGGAGCTCAGTGTCAGGGGACCCACTGTCAGTGGGTTTTTCCTATCATATACAGGCCTGAGGCCTGAACTCAGGTTGCCAGTGGTGGCATGCACCGCAACCTGCCGAGCTACCTGGCCAGCCCCAGACTGCATTTTATACCAAACTATGGGACAAGCAGAATTGGTAGAAGACACTATTTGGCCAGTACAAAAATAGGTTGTGCGTGGGTTATGTTTTACATAAGCAGTACAAAGTTTAAACACAGACTCTGAAAATCAGTTCAAGATGAATATTAACCTTAGGGGAACCACTGAATATGAATGCAAAGAGGTGCAGCTAAAGTGCTAAGGGGTTGAAATGAAATTAAAAATAGCTGGTTATTTAATAGAAGTCAGGAAAAAAATAAAAGAAAAATTCAGAAGCATTTTAAACTTCAAGAACAATGAAAACAACATACCAGAAATTGCAGACTGTAGCTGAAGCAGGAGAATTGGGAGAATTGCAGCTTGAATGTTAGCATTGGAAAGGAAGACAGCTGAGCCTGCTGTGTGCCACAATCCTAGCACCTGCTTTACAATACAACGAAGCTGAGGTGACCCTGGGTACAAGAGCGAGAACATGTCTCAAAAGCCCAAATAAACAATTGGAGAGACTATACTCAATTTTAGGCTCCACCAGCACTAAGAAAGTATTACGACAACTTGGATTAAGTGGACACATTCCTTGACTAAGAAGATTGGTCCAACTGAGGGCAAAGTGACAGCAAGTACTACTTGCAAGGTCTTGTAAAGGTATTAGTTATGGGCAACAAAGATATTATGCCAAAGTTATAAAGTTAAACCTGGTCAAAAGGTAGAAGCTTTCTATCATGGTAACTATAACATTTTAATGAAGGACATTTAAAAATCTAACTAGAGCTTGAATACTCCTGAGTAGGAGTAGGCTTGATATTGTAAGATAAAAATTTTCCCCAAACCAATCTATAATCCACTGTAATTCAAAAGACCCAAAGGGAAATGCTATATGTGGTTTAATATGGAAGAGCCAGGGGCTGATTGTCCTACAGGCAATCCAGAAAGTAGTCAAGGATTGCTCTATTGCTGTCAAAATCTCTTAATAAATAGACACAACACCTGTGTGTGTGTGTGTATGTGTGTGAACTTGCACACTTGGCATGGATCAGAGAACACCTTGCTGAAGTCAGTTGTCTTTCCACCATATGGGTTACAGGGATTGAACTCAGGTTTAGGCTTGGAAGTAAACATTTTTATCCATTAAGATGTTTTGCTGGCCCTGTCAAACCCGCCTATAAAGCTGTAAACATGTAGATACCTTTTATCGAGACACAACTGCAAATAGAATAGTTGAGCTGAATAGAGAGTACCCAATGCTGTAAGTTTAGGGAAGAATGGAATAGGAACCACAGAACAGTGAGCAGTGACAACTGTCTCATATGAGAACAGAATGTACTAGTCCCCAGCATAAACACACACACACACACACACACACACACACACACACACACACACACACACACACACAATTGACTCCAAGTGAATGAAAGTAATAAGTATGAAAAGAAAAACAAGACACTGTAAAATGTTTAGACAAAATAATATACAAACTAAAACAGATGTGGCAGATCTATTTTTGCTACAATAAAATTAAGTCATGGCAGGGCCAACGAGATGGCTCCATGGGTTAAGGCACTTGCCGCTAGTCCTGACCATCTTAAATTTATTCCTGGGACCCACAAGATGGAAGGAGAGAACTGACTCTCACAAGTTGTTCTCTCTCTGACCACCACTTGTGTGTTCTGACATGTGCAAACACAATAAATGTAATAAATGCAACATAACAATAAAATTAAGCTTGGAACTGGTAATACACACCTTTAATCCCAGTTCACATGAGGCAGAGATAGATGGATCTAGGAATTTGAGGCTAGTCTGGTCTATTTAGAGAGCTCAAGGCCAGCCAGGGATACATATTGAAACCCTGTCTCAAAAATAAATTAGAAGTAATATACCATACAATGAAAATATAAGACTCAAGTTGGTAGAAGTCAGTATTTCTAACACCAACTATTACCATAGGAGATATTTTCTAGAGTACTAAATAAAAAGGCTCTCACAAACCAGAAAAAAGGACACCCAGACTAGTTTTTAAAGAGAACTAAAGAGGCAACACACCTTTAACCAGCGTCCAGCTATCCACAGTGGGCCGAGAAGGTACTAGAGTTCAAGCGCAGGTTTTGAGGCAGAGGTGATTAGAAGGACCCCTTATAGCAGACCAAAACCAAAAGGAAAAACAGGACTCATCATTCTGAATCACATTTAGGTCAGATTTTGTTTAGCAAAGAACACCATTAAATACAACATGAGTTTCTGCAACCAAAAAAAAAAAAAAATCTATAAATACAAAAAAAGATGTCCAACTATACTGAGTAAGATGCAAATTGAAGTCACATGAGATCCATTTCAGATCCACCAGGTCAACCATGTTTGCTGGTGAGGATGTAAAGAAAATAAAATAATAAACAACAGCCTTCCCATGCTAAAACAAACTTTAAACTGCAGAAAACTCTTTGTAAAAATCAGCCTTTGTCCATACAAAGTTTTTTTTTGACCAATGTTCTTAGCAGCTTTACACATAATAACTTTCACTGAAAAGTAATTAACCCATCCACAAATGAATAAACATTCTCATGCAGTGGAATACTACTTGTCAATAAAAAGTAAAGAACACATAACATGGATCTTAAAATACTTATGTGAAGGGAAAAAAGACAATCAAAAGTATATATTGCATTATTTCATTTATATAAAATAGAGAAAATGCCAAGTAGATGATAGAAAGCAAATCTGATACTTAAGGGGATGTGAAGGGGGTCACGTGGGAGATTACAGAAAGGCAAGGTAAAGATTTATAAGGTGATGGATATATGCACTATCATGTGTGTTCTCACAGTCATATGTAGTGGGATGTCACGTTTGAAATATAAGCAGTTTATTATATGTCAGTTAGACCTCAATAAATCTTAAAATATCAGCAAAACCAAAAACGTTTTACAAATATATATAGGTGAGTGGCTAGATAGGGAAATAATGTAGAAGTAATAAATATCTCAAAGGCTGAAACAAGACTACTTGAGCACAGAAAAGAGGAGGTGCCAGTGGGGAGGCATACAAGATGCTCTTTAGCCCTTCTGGTACGGTGCTGTTTCTGAAACTGGGCTAGGCAACTCGCATGTTTTTGCAGTTATTTTAGCCAAGTGCGTTCTTTCTACTTCCTTGTGTACATATGCTAATTCTCACAATTTGGGGGGCAAGGCACGAGCCACTTGCCCACGCTGTATTCTATCATTTTGGAGCAGGGTCTACGCAGAATAAATCATCATCGGAAGGACTAAATTCTTTGGTAATGATACAGAGCGCGGGCCTTGGCGGGTAGAGCCAAGGTGCCCTGCGGCGGGTGTAACACACCATGCAGACGCGGCGTCAGAATACTAATATCTTTCATGTCTGATCTGTGTCACTAGTTTGAAAATGGCCAACTTTTCATTTGTTCCAGGTGTAAAAATTATCAACTGCAAACAGCAATTGGAGAGATCAATCAGAAAAGCTATGGTTAAACTTCCTGATACACTACTGTCTGTGCTTGTTAATACTTGCAGTCCTCCTACAACCTTCTAGAGTCCACCTCTAAACACAGATGGTTAAGCATGCACGTGGTACACCTACATAAATACACCCATACACATTTCCTTCTTTTAAAGTAGTTAAAATTCTCAGTACCTAGAGCTAAAACACAATCTTCCTTGCATGCTTTTTTGCTCTAGAGGATTGCTCCTTCGGGGTACAGATGGCTTTATTTTCCTTAGTTTTGTTTGGTTACCACTTTCCCCCCTTTCCTCTCCTTACAGCATTAGGGATTGAACCTACGGCCTTGGGCATGGTAGGCAAGCACTCTATCATTGAGTTATGGCCCTGGCCCCTAATTACTGCTTTTATCAAATGGCTAAAATACAAGCTGAAGCAAACCCATCACGGTTTGCATTTCTCTCCGCCAGACTACAGCAGGGTAAGCGGGGAGGGGAGGGGGAGGGCTTAGGCTAAGCAGTCACCTCGGCCGCACTAGATTCAAAAAGTGAAAGGGCCCCAGCCCGCTCCCTATCTGGACTTCCGAGGCCGCGGGGTTTCTCGGCCGCTCCCGCCCGTGTCCTTGCCTCCGGGACCGTTTAGGAACAGGGGAGCGCCCGAGAATGCGAATAACAGTGCAGGTGCAGAGCGGGCCGCCAGGGTTCAGCAGGAGAGGCCCCGCCCCGCTCACCTTCTACCAGCCACACCCCCCTACGCCCCGCCTCCTCGAGCCGCGCACTTCCGGCCGCAAGGACGCTCGGGAACGCAAGCCGTGAGCCTACACCAACCAGCGGCCGCGTTGGACCGGCACGACTGCGCGCGCATTGAGGCGCAGGTTCGAATCTCGGGCGCCTCGCTGCGGCTCCCCAACGTCCCGGCCGCCCTCGGGGCGCCCTAGCCCGCAGCTCCGCTCCGCCCTCCGCCCTCCCGTAGCCACCCGCGTGCCGCTCATCCCGGGCCCATGGCCAAGCGGCGTGCGGCTGAGCCGCTCACGTTCCGCGTGCCTTGGAAGCGGCTCTTGCTCAGCGACTTCCCCGAGGAGCCGCCGCTCTGGGTCCCGCCGTCTGGGTCGGTTCGGCCCCGCAAACGCCAGGGGGACGCGGGGACCATGGCGGAGCCGGCGGCTGCGCCCCGCAAACGACGCGGGGGCGGGGACGGCGGCCAGGAGCGGCAGGGCCGCGGCCTGGAGCCGGGAGAGCCACCTCCGGGCGAGCAGGAGGAACCCCGGGTCAGCCGAGCTTCGGGGGGCAGCGGCGACGGGGCGGGGAGCGCGGGCAGCGCAGCCGCCGGGGCGCACGTCCAGGTAGGTCCGCCCCGCACAAGCCGGGAGCCGGGTCCCGGGCTGCGGAAGTCCGGCCCACTCGAGGGGCTGGACCGAGTGGTAAAGCCCGTGCTTGGCCCTCTAGAGGGTCAGCTCAGTGGCAAAAGGGGAGAGGAGCGTTGAGTGTAACGGCGATTATTGTCGAACTCGTAGGTTTTCCGGTAGATCCACCAATTAATTGAGCATGGTGCTGGTCTTGGCAGAAGGGAAGGGCTGTCGTCGGGTCTTAAGAGGACCCGTTAGCTCATAATGTTCAGTCCTATGAGAAAGGGTCGTTGGGAATCGCTCCCCGCCGTCTGTTTTGGCAGCGGCTAGCCATGTGATCCAGAAAAAATACTAAGAAATGCAACTTATCCAAATTTATGTATTGTAAGTGTAAAAGAGTAGGCTTTTAAAATTTGGTTTAAGGGGGCTGGAGAGATGGCTCAGAGGTTAAGAGCACTGGCTGCTCTTCCAGAGATCCTGAGTTCAATTCCCAGCAACCACATGGTGCCTCACAACCATCTATAATGAGATCTGGTGCCCTCTTCTGGCGTGCAGGCTATCTATCTTGCAGGCAGAATACTGTATACATAATAAATACATCTTTAAAATTTGGTTTAAGATAAAAGCTCAGAGTTGCCTAGCGGTGGTGGTGGTGGTGCACACTTTTAATCCCAGAACTCCGGAGGCAGAGGCATTCGGATCTCTTGAGTTCGAGGCCAGCCTGGTCTACAGGAGTTCCAGGACAGCCAAGGCTGCAAAGAGAAACCCTGTTTCAAAAAAAACGGGGGTGGGGGGAAGGCTCAGGACCTGTGCTTTGTTGCACACGAATTAACTCTTCACACATCGGGTGGAATGAAATGTTAATTTTACTTTTTAAAATGTGACTGGAAAACTCCAAATGAGTTTATAACCCACATTGTATATGTACCGCCCAGCCTTGACCTGACTTAGGAACGCCCGAGCCTTCTTTAAAGCAGTTCTGGTATAAATTGATGGAGCTTGGGGTGATTGGCAAGTGTAATCCTCCGACCTTGGCAAACCCACCTCAACCACCTTGGAAGGTATCTTCCCAATGTCTTTCTCTGATCTAGTGTCTTAAGCATTTTATGACAAAATCATGCCAAAAATATATAAATAATGGAGGTTGTTTTGTGTGTTTTTTTTTTTTTTTTTTTTTTTTTTTTTGCCATTGTTTCTTGTGAGAAAGACAGGGTTTCTCTGTTTAGCCCTGGTGGCCCTGGACCAGGCTAGCCTCTAACTCAGAGATCTGCCTGTCTCTGCCTCCTAAGTGCTGGGGTTAAAAATGTGGGGAGAGATTATCCTTCAATGCTGCGGTGACTGTTTCTAGGTGAAGTTGCAAATTGTAAATACATAATTTAAGATGACCTTATTTAGACTTTCGTTAGATTGCTGGTAGAAATTCAAAACCTGCTTTCTTAAAACAGTCATAGTCTTCCACGACTGTTGGATAGAGACAGGTGCTGCCTGGGGTGAAACCTTCCTCTCCAGACCATCTTTGGCAAGCAGGCCATATGCAGATTTTCTGAATATACTGTGTGCAGTGTGGGTGCAGTCTGTCTCTCTGTCCACGACTCATGAGGGATAAAGAGTGAAGAGTTGGCCAAGGGGAGCTTTTAACAAGCCAACACGACTCCGATAGACACAGTTGGGTCTTGCCTCACACACTGGCTGGATTTGGCAGGTTTTACCCTGTGAAGCCCAAGAATGTTCTGGTAGGTAGGTCTGCTCTTAAGTTCCTTCTCTTCTACAGATGTATGAGAAGATACAAATTCTCAGTCTCTCTTGCCTCCAAAGACAAGGTTTTGTTTTAAGAGCTTATCATCCAGGAGAAAATGATATAACATAAAGCATACTGACATCAGTGTCGGCCTGATGTCTTCTTGCTCAGATTAGGCGGTAAATCCTTGCCCTAACCTTGTGGTCTCAGGTAGGAAATGCTAGCACAGAGGCATTCTTTCCAGGCACAGTGCTAGTATCTACTTTGTGTTGTCAAGCTTTTGGATACACAACTTATATGCGTATATAGAGAGGGGATAGTTTAATGTACATGTATACTTAAGACAAAGCCAAGAGTGCATATATGTTATATATAAAATATATCTTTAATAACTGTAATTTTACTCAGATCAGTTGCTTAGCCAATATTGTAACGTATTGTCCAGTAACAGCAGAAATGTTTTACTAGTGAGAGAGTTAATGACATTCATTTGAAGATTTGTGATACCTAGCAATAGTGAGCATTTACTGTGCTAATTTTTAATTCTCACAAAGATCCTAATTCCTGTTTCTAATGAGAACTAGAGAGTAACTGTTTTGACCCCATTTGCTTATTATTAAAGTGGAATTTTTTTGGATACATCCTTTTAAAAGTTTTTTGTGTATGTGAGACACAAACCCACATGTATTGGGTTATCTGCTGAACCATTTCACCAGCCCTATCTATGTCTTGACTTTATTGTGTCTTTAGCCCAATATTAAGAAATTCCCAGAAGACTAATTCTTTCTGCCTTCCAGTCTAAGAGGATGACCACAACATGACTGCTTCCCCTGTCTCCACTGTCAAGTGGCCCTGAGCATCAACGTGTGGCCACTTTTGAATAGTACTACAAGTGTATGGTGCATTCTTCATTTTGAAAAGAATGTATACACCACTAAGTTTTGAAATGTTGAACACATGCTGAAACAGTAGTTTAGTTACATTGGGTTAAATAAGATCAAAGTTAATTTCACTTGTTTTTCTTTTCTTTTTTTTTATGGAGCAGTAAGTACATGTGATTGTCATTCCTAGTGGATGGAGTTGCTGTAGCAAGTGCCATTTTTTTTTTTTTTTTTGGTTTTTCGAGACAGGGTTTCTCTGTGTAGCTTTGCGCCTTTCCTGGAACTCACTTGGTAGCCCAGGATGGCCTCGAACTCACAGAGATCCGCCTGGCTCTGCCTCCCGAGTGCTGGGATTAAAGGCGTGCGCCACCACGGCTGCAAGTGCCATTTAACACAGTGTGTGAGGCTTTGATCTGGCAAGGACATTCGGGTTAGAATTGTCACCCGTCAGCCTGTGGGACTCCAGTGCTGCCCTCTTTGCATGGAGTATTTTGAAGATGCTGTGCCACTTTTAACTTAATTGTGTAATTATTTATAGGAAACTGCTTAATGTTTAAGGGATCACCACTCATTTGGCTTGGTAGATAGATCTATTTGTCAGTCATACCGATTGTCAGTTCTGTGTTCTTCTCTTTATCAGATTTATATACTAAACTTCATAGGAGTCCTGAAATATTTTGGCCTCTATGTTAGTCTCAATACTAAACATCAGGGAAAAAAACAAAAGTGGATAATAAGGGTGTATATATATTTTAAATCTCATATTTCTCATTGAAACTTAACACTGGCTGCTTTTCCAGAGGACCAGGGTGTAATTCCTCAAACCCACATGGTGGCTCACAACAGTCTGTAACTCCAGTCTCAGGGGATCTGGTGCCCTCTTCTGGCTTCCTCAGGCACTGCATTCTCGGTGCACAGACATACATTAAGGCAAAATACCCATACACATAAATAAAAAGGTTAAAGCATTACATTTTTTTGAAAAGATGCTATTGAAGGAAATTCTTTTAAAATTAAACTATTAGCAAATACAAACCCACAGATTTGATTGGGTATGTGAAGTGGTTTATCCAAAATTAAAACTGTATTTGTTGAAAATGAAAAATAGTGTGTAAAGTATATTTGAGTTTGAGTTTATTTTTCAAACAAGGAATTTAAAAAGTAGTTATTGGATTGGCAAGATGTCTTAGCAGGTAAAGGCACTTGCTGCCAAGCCTGAGGACTTGAGTACTGTCTCCTGAAAGTTGTCCTCTGATCTCTATCATGGTATGTGCCACCCCTAAATAAATGAGTGTAAACAAAAAACCACATAACTATGTTTTTGTTCTTGAGGCAGGGTAGTCCAGGATCGCCTTAAATGTACAGTTCTCCACTCAGGCTTCTCAGTACTGTGATGCTGGGCATGTCAGCCTGCCCGACTGAAAGAAGGCAATTTTTTCCAAGGGTGTGTGTGTGTGTGTGTGTGTGTGTGTGTGTGTGTGTGTGTGTGTGTGTGTGTTTTCTCAGTTATTTCCTAAGGTGGGGTGTGTAGTGGTGTTTTCTAAGCCGGTGATACATTTTCTCTTTCTCCTTTCCTTAAAGCCCAGTGAAGAGTTTTGGCAGTATAATACATTCCAGTACTGGAGAAACCCTCTACCACCTATTGATGTGGCCGCTCTTGAAGATGTGATTGCAGACAGCCTGACGGAAACGCTTCAGGACAAGAATGAAGTAGTTGAGATTGACATGGAGTCCTGACAGGAGGAG